GCACCCAGGAGCCAGAGTCAGGAACTGGAAACTCAATTCAGAGTCCCCAAATAGGTGGCAGGAACCCAACCACTCGAGCCAGCACCTGGAGCCTCCTAGCTGTGCGGAGGCAGGAAGCTGGGATTGGAAGATGGAGCTGGGACTTGAACCTAGGTACTCTCAATATGGGATGCAGATGCTCCAACCAGGATCTCTGACTGTCAGACCAGCTCTCACTCCTGCAGGGACTTTTTGAAGTACTCTTGTGTTAGCTCCTACTCTAAAGAGTCATCAGAAAGTCTTGAGGAGGAGGGGCTATCCACGGGCAGCCAACCACCCTGCTGTCTCCAAAGTTGAAGACACTCTCCAAAGTTGAAGACACTCTGATGGCAAGGGGGCCTCCCAGCATTCAGACTCAAGATGGTACAGATGGGGAACCAACTGCTCACGCATGAGTCATCTCAGTGTCTGAACACACAGATCTACCTTCCCTCCAAAAACCCAGCACATTTCTCTTAATCCTTAACCCATTTTATAGAGCTAAAATCTATCTGGTAACTTTCGTTTTGAAGCCAAAACGAGTATATTCAATGTCTCTCTTAACTTTGAGTGTGTTAATTTCAACGGGGCAGAAAAATAATTAACTGTAGATGGGAGTGTCTCCAGTTTTCCCTTCGTTGTAGTCTCAAGGAAAACAGCAAGCAGACATACTGTATAGAATAGTAATGACGGGGCCGGCGCCACAGCTCACTTGGCTAATCCTCCGCCTGTGGCGTCGGTACCCTGGGTACTAGTCCCGGTCGGGTGCCAGATTCTGTCCTGGTTGCTCCTCTTCCAGTCCAGCTCTCTGCTGTGGCCCAGGAAGGCAGTGGAGGATGGCCCAAGTGCTTGGGCCCTGCACCCACACCCGCATGGGAGACCAGGAGCAAGCACCTGGCTCCCGGCTTCTGATCAGTGCACCGCGCCGGTCGTAGCAGCCATTTCGGGGGTGAACCAACGAAAAGAAGACCTTTCTCTCTGTCTCTCTTACTGTCTAACTCTGCCTGTCAGAAAAGAAAGAAAGAAAGAAAGAGAGAGAGAAAGAGAGAAAGAGAGAGAGAGAGAGAGAAAGGAAGGAAGGAAGGAAGAAAGAAAGAAAGAAAGAAAGAGGGAGGAAAGAATAGTAATGACAGGGGCAGCAAGAACAAAAAGTTCAAAGTGGAGGTGGGTATTGTGGCATAACCAGTTAGGCTGCCATGTGGGACACTTACATTCCATCCTGGAGTGCCAGTCTGAGTCTCAGCCACTCCATACTTCTAACGCAGGCAGTGGACCATGGCCCTGGTGCTGGGTTCCTGCCACCCAGTTGGGAGTTCTGGATGAAGTTCCTGGCTCCGGGCTTCAGCCTGGCCTAAACTGGCTGTAGTGGGCATTTGGGTAGTGAACTAGTGGATGGAATAGCTCTTTAGCTCTTTGTCTCTTTCTCTTTCCCCCTGCCCCCACCCCTGCCCGTCACTCTGCCTTTCAAATAAAATCTTTTTAAAAAGATTTATTGGGGGCTGGTGTGGCGTATCGGGTAAAGCTGCCGCCTGCAGTGCCGGCATCACATATGGGCGCCAGTTCTAGTCCTGGCTGCTCCACTTCCAATTCAGCTCTTTGCTATGGCCTGGGAAAGCAGTGGAAGATGGCCCAAGTGCTTAGGCCCCTGCCCCCACATGGGAAGACCCAGAGGAAACTCCTAGCTTCTGATCGGCACAGCTCTGGCCATTGCAACCAGACTGAGTTCTGTTCTGGCTTTGCCATGCCCAGCCCTACCTGTTGTAGGCATTTGGGAGTGAACCAGTGGATGAGAGCTGTCTGTCTCTGTCTCTCCACCTTTTAAATAAATAAAAAGTAAATAACATATATTAAAAAAAAGAAGTGGTAGACCCTAACATTATCATCACTATTGTGTTATTGTAACCCATCTCCCTGGTCATAATGATGTGTTTTGCACATAGTAGGTGCTCAGCAGGTGCTTGCTGAATCTCTGTGGTGGCTAGACAGGTCTTTTTCTCCTGTCCCAAAGTCACCCATGGCAAGAAAATCTCTTACTTCCTATTCTAGGCTGCAAATTGTTCTGTTCTTTTGCAACAACTTGCATGCTTTTGTCTGATTTCCTCTCAGTCATAGACTTGCTCATCTGCTAAACTATTTAGAATTTATTACAACATGTGGCAAGGAGCCTGCCCGCACCCCCCCCCCCCCAGCCCAACAGAAAGGCAAAGGAAGTCTGCAAAAACAAGCAGGGGTGTTAAATTACTCATGTTTATTTATAACAGACCTTCAGCCAGTACAGTACAAAACTTACAGTAGTATATCTCCGTTACACAAATATTTACTTACAATATATTACATATACAAAACGCTTTGCAGTAAGTCTCAAAAGCTAGTTTAACTCCTCTTGAGAGAGGAGGAAAACCCTTTAAAAAAAGGGTAGGGGAGGGACTCAGAAAGAAAGGAGGAGGTGAAGGGGTTAGGGTCAAGGGAGACACCAAACATAGGCTATGTAGGAAACCCTGGGAGAGAGGAGAGGTGGTATTGCACTTGCTTCTGTGTTTTATTTTTTTCTCTTTTTGTTCTTCATAACTTCTGATTAAAAATATATATATATTATGTACATAAGGAAAGAAGCTGCCAGAAGTATTACAAAATCCCATCTGCAGCTTTGACACCGACACACACACACACACACACAAAGGTCTGGAAAAGTGTCTATTTAGAAACAGTTTCTGTGGTGTTGACTTTGAACAGCAATATAAAAGGAAACACCTCTTTTCTCCATGTGGGTTTCAGTGTGTGTGTGGGTTTTTTTTTCTTAAATTTTTTAATATATATTTTTTTAATGCAAAAGGAGCTGGGAGAGAGCATGAGGATGTTTGAGGTTCCAGAGCTGGAAGGCTCTGAAGAGTAGGATTTTGTACCTAAGACCCTGGTTAAAGTGCAGTGATGGTCTGGAGAGAGACAGGAGGCCCCTCTCTCCCCTCCTTAGCACCTGGTCTTGCCCTTCCAGCCTCTGCTCTCATGGGCACAGAGAATAGCCTCAGAGCATAGTCCTTCATGTCCCGGGAGGTTGCAGGTGCCAGAGCTGACTATGGGAGGGGATGGGGCACCCTAAGGCCCTGGTACCCCCGAAGAGGTTAGTCCTTATGAGGTGTCACCAGATCCACGGCAGACACAGAAGAGGTGGGGGGCAGGTCTAACAGGAAGGGGCTCAGTAACCAGAAGAGTTCAGAAGAAGCCCAGATGCTAAGCTCAGCTCTGCTGCTGTCCTGAAACAAGGAGCCAGCACTCGGGGCACCGCGGAGAGGACTCTGCCCTCCTCTGGGGACTGCTCTCCTCCCAGCTGAGCCCCCAGCCTCTGCCCTCGGCAGCATCTATTTATTGCTACATTGGCAAGGGGGAACGATCACCCCACGGTGCCTCTCCCTGCCAATCTGGTTCTCTTGGGAAACCACGGAATGGGGGACAAAAACGAAGGAGACGAGAAACTTGTTTCCCTTCTCATAAAAGAGTAAGGTAGGCTCTTCTCCGAGCCCTTAAGAGCCCCAATTCCAGGGTCTGTTCCTTAGCCCACCCTTTACCATCTCCCACAAATATCCCTGATAGGGAGTGAGAAAAGCTGGAGGCAAAAGAGCCAATAAGGATAGGTGGCGTGGAAAGAAAGAGTGAGGGAAAGGAAGGGAAGAAGAGAAAGACCAGGAGTTACAAATTGTGAGGTGTTGTGTTTGGTTTTTACTTTCTTTTTTTTTTTTCTTTAAACATAGAAAAACAGCCTTTGGTTTTAATCTCAAGGAAGCGGAGAATGGGACGACTGTGGCCTTGGGCAGGGGGCTCTTGTAGAAAAAGGCCTCCCATCTGCAGTGGAGTTGTATCTCCTCCTGCCCCTTTCACAGTCCACGGTTTCCAAATAACCTGGGGTCTCTGCAGTAGCCCGGAGGAGAGTGCACCTCCGCAAGTCTGAGAACTGCGTGTAGAAGCGGCAGCAAAGGATGACCCCGGGTTCAGCTGTGCGCATCCCATTCTTGCTGGAACAAGGGTGGGACGGGGGAGGGATATATGCCCTTGCTCATCCTGGGATAATTTTTGGTTATACTGAAAATCAGAGGAGAGAAGAGAGACACCCCCTTTTCCCTGCCTATGGTGATAAGAACAGGACCCAGGAACCTGGGGATGCGAGGGTGAATCCTGCTAGGAGGGAAAGGAAGAAGGCAGTGTGACCTGAGGGGTCGAGACACCCCCTTGTCAGCAGGCAGCAATCCACTAGTTTCTCATAGAATGGGGACTGAAGGAGTCCCTGAGAGCCTAGGACAGTCACAAGACTGAAGAAGTTTGAGAGGTGCAGGAGAAAGAGAATTTTGGCCCACCCCCTTCCCATGCCCTGGTTCCCAATTAGGCACCTGTGGCTCCCGTGTGTCAGAGACAGAGGGTTGCAAACCTAACCTTGGCCCCTGAGGGTATAAGTTTGGGGCACTCCAAGGAGAGAAAAGCCACCACTGAGTAGACTGGCAGGTTGAAGAGAAAAGAGCAGTACTGAGGGTTTGTCTGAGGTAAGGGGAGGGGGTCTGTCACATCCTGGAGGGAGATCTGAGTGCAGGCTCTACAGAGGAACAGTGAGAGGACCCGCGGTCCGACAGTGTCTGGGGAGAAGTTCTTCAGCCTCTCCTACTTCCAAATGAGGGAATTCTTCATTCATTCAAGGATAGTGCAAGCTGCCTACAGTGAGAGGGCACGAGAGGTATGGAGTACCAGGCTGAAGGGTCCCAGAGAGGAGATATAATGCCACAGAGCTAAGGGAAGAATCCGGTAACGCAGGGAGGGAGGGCTGACGGCAAGAAGCTCGTCTCAGTGCTAAGAGGAGCTTCCTACCGGTGGTGCTGCTGGAGAAGGCTGGATCAAAGAGGAGGAAAATAGGCCTGAAGCGGAAGGGAGCGGTGGGCAGGAGGGTGCGTGGTAAGGGACTGACGTAAGTGCAAAAATAAAAAGGCAAAAGAGCAATCGACTAAGCGAGAAATAACTCAGTGCTCCTGCTGGGATGAGAGGAGGGAGAAAGTGGAGACAAGCAGAAGACCCGTGTCATCACAATGCTTACACGGGTCAGAGTCCAGGGGGAGGTGTGTGAGGTGAACAGGGGTCAGGGTCAGGTGTGAAGTCAGGTAGCCAGTGCTGGGGGCTACAAAGCAAAACTCCTTGGGATGTGGTGGGGACAGGGCTAGACACCAGTAAGTGGGGCAGTGGTGTTGTGGTGGGCTGCGGGGAGGGGGAGAGGTCACTAGCCCACCTTGTGCTCCCCCGGACAATGTGGGAAGAGAACTCGTACCGGTCCTGGCTGTGGTAGCCACAGATGTTGCACTCGAAGGGGTCTCGGAAGCCGTGGCAGCCCATGTGGATGGTGAACATCACGTGGTCCAGGAAGAGGATGCGGCAGTGCTCACACTTGAAGGCCTTCACGGGCTCACCGCTCTCGCCCACCACCCGAAGCACTTCCTTGGAGGGGCCTGGGGTGCCCCGCAGTAACCCCTCCTGCGGCTTGGGGTCCTCTTTGGCGTAGGCAGGACTGTGCCGGCCCACCACGATGGTGGGAGGTGGCTGGGGTGGGGGACCCTGAGGAAGGGATACCACCCCCCCTACCCGATCTTCATGGTTGCTCTCTGTGTCTGTGGAGTCCTGGCAGCCATTGCTGGGGGAGGCGCCAGGGTCAGTCAGGGGGCCCCGGGCCCGGTAGAGGAGGGGACCTCCATCAGCCAGGTCCTCGGGTCCCTCACCTGCTTCTCGGGACCCTGGGAGCTCCAGTCGACCGGGAAGGGGCTGCATCTGGGTGTAGACGGAGCTGATGACTGGTGTGAGTTCTGAGATGCAGTTGGTGGGTGGGAGGCGGAGGGGACGCAGATGCTCTGCACCCACGAAGGCCAGAGAACCCCCAAAGCCAGGCTCCAGGCCGTGGTGCGCCACCAACTCCACATCCTTCTCATAGCCGCCCGAGTTCACATCATAGGGGAGGTCCGAGAGGCTGAAGCGCATCTGCTTTTCACCTGGGGAAAAGGAGGTCTCAGCACAGCCGGGGAGAATTCCGGAGCTCCCCCCAGGACTGCGTCTTTGTTCTCTCCCCCAGGGGCTGACACAGTGTTGGTCAACACTCCTCGCTTCCTTCCCCTGACAGCAGGGCCTCCGTGGGATGTGATCTCAGAGAAGGACTCAGCCCCCACCCAGTTAGCGTTAATATTTCCTTCCCTCTCCATAAAATGCAGGTCCTTGGGGGCCAAGGCCCAGTGTCAGGTGGGGAACCACATCACACCCCCTTCTCTCTCACTCTGAGGCCCACAGAGACTGAGATCCTTGTTACTCTCAAAAACTGTGAGAAGAAGGGGGAGGGGAGGGTTGGCACCGTGCTGCAGTGGGTTAAGCTGCCGTAAGCAACACCAGCATCCCACACGAGCACCTTTCTGAGTCCCTGCTACTCCATTGCCAATCCAGCTCCCTGCTAATGTGACTGCGAAAGCTGTGGAAGATGGCCGCAGTGCCAGATGTGACCTGGATGAAGCTCCTGGCTGCTGGCTTTGTCCTGGCCCAGCCCCAGACGTTGCGGCTATTTGGGAGGTGAACCAGCAGATGTGGTGTCTGTCTCTCTAGCTCTGTAACTCAGCCCTTCAAATAAATAAAAAAAAAATTTTTTTTGACAGGCAGAGTGGACAGTGAGAGAGAGAGACAGAGAGAAAGGTCTTCCTTTGCCATTGGTTCACCCTCCAATGGCCGCCACGGCTGGCGCGCTGGGGCCAGCGCACCGCGCTGATCCAAAGGCAGGAGCCAGGTGCTTCTCCTGGTCTCCCATGGGGTGCAGGGCCCAAGCACTTGGGCCATCTTCCACTGCACTCCCGGGCCACAGCAGAGAGCTGTCCTGGAAGGGGGGCAACCGGGACAGAATCCGGAGCCCCGACCAGGACTAGAACCCGGGGTGCCGGCGCTGCTAGGTGGAGGATTAGCCTAGTGAGCCGCGGTGCCGGCCACAAATAAATAAATATTTAAAACAAAACTGGGAGAGCCTGAGTGCCCTACCAGCTCCCCTTGCAACCATCATGACAGACCTCCGCACCAACCCCTCTCCACTCTCGAGGGACATCCTCCTCTCCTGCGCTAGGGATAGACTCGCAGAGCACCAGACTGCTTTCTTTCCCCAAGTCGAATCTCTAGACCGAAAGCTGTGGTCTAGTGGCAACCAGGGCTCGGACTGATTGGAGCTGTGGCTTGATGTGGCCGATGTCTCCTTTCCAACTGCACTCTTACCTACAAACTTCTGGGGGGTGGAACGCTTGCGTTTGGTGAGGCTGTTGGCCAGACGGTCGATGAACGTTGGCCGCTCAGATGATGCGTGCAGCATGGAGTCTGGCACCATTTCCAGATCACGGATCTCGTCACCTAGTGGGGGGAGGTGGGGACAGATAGCAGCTGCTAAGCAAGTGTAGCACTGGCTCAGCAGCCTTGGCCTGGAGAAAACCAACACGTCAGTACCCAAGATGGGCAGACCTAATGCCTGGGAAACTGGGCTCTGTCCACCACCCTGACATGCGTCCCAGTCAACATTTCAAAGCATTTGGAACAGCCGGTGCCATGGCTCACTAGGCTAATCCTCCGCCTTGCGGCGCCGGCACACCAGGTTCTAGTCCCGGTTGGGGCGCCGGATCCTGTCCCGGTTGCCCCTCTTCCAGGCCAGCTCTCTGCTGTGGCCAGGGAGTGCAGTGGAGGATGGCCCAAGTCCTTGGGCCCTGCACCCCATGGGAGACCAGGATAAGTACCTGGCTCCTGCCATCGGATCAGCGCGGTGCGCTGGCCGCGGCCATTGGAGGGTGAACCAATGCAAAAGGAAGACCTTTCTCTCTCTCTCTCTCTCTCACTGTTCACTCTGCCTGTCAAAAAAAAAAAAGAAAAAAAAAAAAAGCATTTGGAACAGTTACATACATCTGACTCCTGATTTTATACTCCCTGTGTTCTCTCTCCCGTTAGTCTGAGGTCATAGACCCAAAGTGTCCCTATAGGACCCATGCCACAAGGTTCTTCTCGGCACCAACTGGGCTCTGCGGGATAGAGCGCTTAGCAGACTGAATGGAGTAATCGTTACTGTTCCACAAAGCTCGTTGTTTCTGCATGGGACGTGGTGCTGGGCTCACCCTTGCCCTGCACTCTCTCTGGCCTTGGCCTCCCGCCCCCGCGGTGCAGCCAGCAGCCCCACCTGGTTGGCCAGCCAAGGCCTGGGCTTCAGTGCTGAGACTCTGCAGGTAGTTGTGGCAGCGCTCCTTGTGCTCCTCCAGGGTGCTCTGCTGTTTGTAGCTCCGGCCACAGTAGTTACACTTGTAAGGTTTGCCCACCGTGGGAGAGGAGACTGTGGAGGAGAAGGGACAGACGGCGTCAGTTACTTCTCCCTGTGTCCTGACTCTGAGAATCATCCAGGAGCAGATGTGCACTGGCAAGGGCAAGAAAGTATCTGGCTCACTTGAATTCTTCCCCGGGTCCAGCTGAAAACACGGACGTAGGAAGAGCGCTAATGTGCAGCTATGGGATGAGAGGATCCCGGGGCTCCCGGCTCCAGATGGGCGGTGGGCTTCAAGATGGCCAATCTGCAGCTCAAAGGAAGCGAGGGCCCAGGGACCTCGCAGAGCAGGCAGGCCCCACCCCAGGATCTCAGAGTCTGGGGCCCACACTGTGGTTTAACCTTTCTAGGCAGCAGGCGGGTACTCATGCTGTTTATCAGACAAGGGGGTTTTTTGCTTACGAACCATCTGCTTTGTTTCGGGGGAAATTAGTGGGTTGGAGTGACAGAAATGAGTGCCCTTAGGTCTGCCAATGTGGGGAGGGGGCAATGCTCATTGACCTTTGACTGGTATGTTTGTATCCATCCCAAGTGGGGTTTGCCTGATTCTTTTCTCTCTCTCCACACTGAGATCCCAAGGGAGCCCCAGAAAGATCACTGCTGATAGAGAAATGCTGAGAAGAGGAGAGAAGAGAAAAAACGAAGAGGAAAAGAAAGAGAACACCAAGTTTGGATTTTTTTTTAAAGGACCAGGTTTACAAAGATTTTGTTTTTACTGAAGAAAAACTATTGGGAAAACTGAGGTTCCTACTTTGTTTAAAGATAATTCTTGAGAGGTCTTATTTGAGAAAGGAGAGAGAAAAGCGAGGAGAAAGAAGGTAAAGTATAATTTACATTGCTTGCTTTTGTTGAGCAGGGAGCCGAGAGGCTGTCTTTAGAAGACTGGTAATGACTGTCCCCGGCCCCGCCGCCTGGCCTGACCTCAGCTTTGACCGCATCAGTCAGCTTCCAGCTTGCTCTTGCTCTGGAAAGCCCTGGATTTTAGGGGTGAGAAGAACACTCAGGTTCTTATCCACTCAAGACCCCTTGGGGAAATGGTTTAACATCTGGGAGAGGAGTGATTTTCTGATCTCTTTTTTCTCATAGAGTAGGTTGTAAGAGAAAGAATCTCATAGAGATGGGACTCAGTGGTATGTGAGGGGACTTCCGAAAGCTTGTGGGAAAATGGAGTTTAAAAAATAAGCTTATTTTGGTACAATTTTTGAAAAATCCATGTATTTCTTTTTATCCTAATGCCCGTTCTCTATGGACGTTTTGGAAGATCTCTCACACCTGTCTGTGTCTGTCATTAACAATCTCCTACAGGACAACATCTGAACTCCACCCAGCTGAGCTAGTCGTTAGGAACTCGAGGGACCCAGGCCAGTGTTGGGGCGCAGCAGATTAAGCCATCGTTTGCCATGCCAGCATCCTACATCAGAGTGCCAGTTCGGGTCCTGGCAGCTCCACTTCTCATCCAGCTCCCTTCTAATGTGCTTGGGAAGGCAGCTGAAGATGACCTAAGTGCTTGGATCCCTGCTATCCACATGGGAGACCCCAGTGGAATTTCTAGCTCCTGGCTTTGGCATGACCCAGCCTCAGCTGTTGCAGGCATTTGGGAGTGAACCAGTGGTCTCTCTCCCTGTCACTCTGCCTTTCAAATAAGTAAAATAAAAATAAAAAACCTGAAGGAAAGAATTCTAGGGACCAAACCATCCTTGTTCCAAACCAGCAGGGGGAGCCACCCCTTTTCTGAGAAAAAGGAGCCTATACTCTGGACCTTGGTGGGGGTCCCAGCCTGCCTGCAGCAGAGCTGGGTGACCGGGAACTCATTCCTCCGCTCGCCCCTCCCCCAGCTCGCTTTCTTGTCAGCACCATGGGGATAATCACATCTGCCTTGGGACTGTGATGAGAGTCATACGAAGAGACATGGTTACCAAGCTCTGCAGATTCTAAAGCCTGAATCAACGATGCTCCTTCTGCCTGTTTCTCCACAAACACAAAGGGGTCCCACTGACAAGGTGGGAGAACCTGGAACGAGGTAGGTGACCTGAGACAGGAAGGAGTGTAGCGGGCGGTGCAGCGATTGCACTGTTCTTTTGAAGTCTGGCACAGGAGGGTTTGAGAGAAAGGAGCCAGGAAAGTGTCCAAGGACAGACCCTTCTTTTCTTTCCCCTCTTCCCTTCCTTCCTGTCTCTTCCCAATCTTGAGCTCTCTCCTTCCTGCCAGCTCAGCTCCTGGCCTCTTCCCAAGGCCAAGCCAAAAGTCTCAAACTTGGTAAATGCCTGAGAAGTGTGTTATCTGTCCAGCTGATTCAAGGAGAGATTGATTCAAACAGTCTCAGCCGGGCTTGAAAACCTTGCCAATCCAGTTCCCCCACACGCTCTACACACTGGCGCCCTCTGGAACAGGGAACAGAAATGGGATACTCGTCCTATTTGGAGGTCCTGGGCTCCTGTTTGTCCAGTTTGGGAGGTCTCTGGATGTCCACAGGAGCCAGGAGGAAGTTAAGGAGAGGACAGACAGTGGCCGATCAGGACCCCTGCTGCTGCAGGGGAGGTGAAGATGGTAACCCATGGCGCGAGTGGCGTGATGGGGCACAGGTGGCTCTGGCGGCATAGCAATCTTTAAAAAGCAAGTCGAGGAAGGTGACTGGTAAGAGCTAAGAACACGGCCTGTGCTCCTTTTGCTGGATGACACACAGTGTGGCGGATGTGACATACCCCACCACGGAGTCCCCTAAGTTCCCCATGGGGCTCTGCTATCCAGAGCAGGGATTGGAGGGGCAGGGCCTGTTTACGTTCTGTGCCCTCCTGAGATCTAGGAGAAGTGGCTCAGCGCTGTTGGCTGGGTGTGCTGGGACCCACCCCTTCCTGTCCTGCTGGACCGTCACTGACCCGAGTGTGTGCGGAGGTGGCCAGTGAGTGCGTCACGCCGACGGCAGGCGTAGTTGCAGAAGGGGCACTTGAAGGGCTTCTCCCCAGAGTGCAGCTTGATGTGGCGCAGCAGGTTGCCCTTCTGCGTGAAGGAGGCCCCACACTGGTTGCAGTGGAAGGGCCTTTCTCCTGCAGGTGGAAGCACAGATCCCAGAGGGCGGCGCATGAGCAACGTTGAAGCTTGAACCTGGCCACCTACCCTGCCCGAAGGCAGGGATGCGCCCCCTCCTTCGCACAAAGTCTGCCTGACAGATGTCCCTAGGGGACAGGCTTCCCCGGGGAAGGCGCGGGTTACAGGTGCATGGCAGGGAGAGGGGAGGAGAGGTTAGCACCATAACCAGCCCCCGCAGGGTCCACTCTGCCTCCGAAGCCCGAGGAGGCGGAGAAGGGAAGGCTTTTGTTTTCCTTTCTTCAAAAAAAAATTATGGGATGGGAGGCCCCAAAGGCTACCCAGGAGTCCTACCAGGGTTGGACCACAGGATCCTCCTTGAGGATACAGCACTTTCCCCGCTTCACATCCTGAGAAAGGTATCAGGTGTTCTGTGTAGCGGCAGGGAGGAGGTGCCAGGGGAGCACAGGTGTTGAGGGGAGTCTCTATCAGCCAGATAGTGTGCTGTGGCCAGCCCTCCCCTCCCCCACCCCCAGCCATCACCACCGTGCCCCTGGAGCCCTCCCGGAGCCTCTCTGGCTCACTCACCAGTGTGGCTGCGCTTGTGCACCATGAGCACGTTGGGTCCAATACAGACCATGCCGCAGACATCACACTTGAGCTTGCCGTTGGGCAGCCGGATGCCTCCAGGGGAGTGGGGCTCGGGCCCACTCCCATCACAGTAGCCCAGGGGCTCCGACAACGAGTCTTCCACAATCACGCTGTCATCCTTGTCCAGGAGCCGCTCATCGGGCCCCAGCAGTCTGCTCGACTCCTCATCGCTGTACATCTCCACCTTGATGGAGTTGGCTGCAGGGTAGGGTGGCATTGAGAACAGAGACAGGACAGGCCAGAACAGGACTGCTAAAGGCCCTGGGACATTCAAGCCCTACACAGGGCCAATATGATCCCGATTGTGACATCAGAGTCCTGCTGGAAGCCGAACCGCCTTCTCCTTCTCTCCCACGCACTGGGCAAATGGGCCTTAAGAGAAAAACGATGGAGTACATGGGATGGCTCCCGTCCCTGGGGAGAGGAGGTGGCTGAGAGGAGCCTTTTGCTCCACTCCCTTGTCGTAAAGAAAGATGTCTGGCTGGGCCGCAGGAAGCCAGTGGGTAACAGTGGCGGGAAAACAGTTCGAGGAAGACTGAAAGGGACCACGAGCTAGAGAGAGAGCAAAACTAAAAGACAGATACGGCTCACGTTATTCCCCCACCCCGTAAGGCTGACCCCTTTGTCCCCTTGGTAAAACTCTGAGGCAGAGGAGGGGATGAAGGAGGGAGGAGCCATGGAGAAGGCTTTGGCTCTGGCTCTGACCTACATTCCTGGCTATTTGAACCATTTAGAGAATGTCACCTCCAGGGCCAGCTGGGGAGGGGCGGTCATGGGGACCCCGTCTAGACGGGAGAATGGGGTCTGTTTGCAATCTGCCTACATTTCATGGCCGTTTCCATCGACCTCCTCCAACTGCGGCGTTGCTCGTTGGAGCCTTCACCTTAATCCTGCCCAGGCCTCTTTTAATTCTAGCCTCGTCTGGCAGTGACTATTCGCTGTCTTTCCAGAAGCCAGAAAAACCCTAGGCACTGGGCTCCCTCGAGCTTTTAGGCTCTGAGCAGGAAATCGGAGGGAGGCAACCATGGGGAAATGGTTACCAGTGGAAGGTGAATCGAGGGCCAAGGGCAGATGCAGGTGCCGAGTGCAGGAAGGGGCAGGCAGGCAGTGCACTTACCACTGAGTGAGCGGCTGGGAGAAGAGTGCTGGCTGTTGGGGGTGCTCACCGAGGGCCCCACCGGGGCCCCGAGGAACTCCTTCTCCAGAGATGAGTCCCCGCTACCTTGGAGGAGAGAACAAGAGGGCAACGAGTTGGAGCCATCTACTGTCCATTGCCTGTTTTTTTTTTTTTTTTTAAAGAATTCAGTTAAATTTCACAAACATCTATTCCATAGCCAAGGCGGTATTGTATGCCAGGCACCCTACCTTGCACCCCCACCTGCCGGGGTGCCCGGCGCTCACTTCCGTGAACTCAGGGACTAGGCTGTGCCTCCTCTACCTTTATCTAGGCCGGAGGGGAAGCGCTGCAAGCATCACAGCTTGCCGCCCACAGGAAGCTGGGCTGGGCTGGGCGGGCCGAAGCCCAGAGCAGAATGGGGGCCCATGGAGGGCGGCAGTTCGGGACAGACTTTTTTTCCTATCCTTGCTCTCCGGAGCCCCCAGTAGTAGGTTGGGGGTCTGCAGGAGGGCGAGCTAGTAATTATGATAGCAGCTAATATTAACTGAGTGCTTACTACGTGCCAGGTGTTGGTCTAGGCACTTAAAATGGATTCTATCCTTTAACCATCACGAACCACCCTACAAAGCAGATGCTACAGTATCTTAATTTTTCAAGGGAAGAACCTTGGCACAAAAGAGGCTATGCTGCTTGTCTAAGGTCACATAACAGGAGGTGGTAGAAGTGGGATCAGATCACAGACAGTAAGGGCCTGTGTCCTTAACTACAATCCAAACAGCCCACGGGGAGTCACTGTTTCAGTAAGGGACACTTGGGTCCACTTGATTTTCTAAATCCAGCGAAAACTGGACCTCTCTAGAAAGCCTCCTGCCTGGTCAGATTCCAGTCACATTCACTACTTGATATTCTCTTGACATTTAAAATACGTTTATCCTCAATATATTCATTTTAATGTATTCACAAATTGCTTTGTAAAAATACTGTTGAGAGCTTCATAATGTTTTTAAAAATCAAATTACATACCTGAAGTTATGAATGTCTGTTTTTAAAAAAATCCCTTCTCCCCATAATCTTCTGTACAAATACATAGGTAAAATAAAAACACATGTAGATAAACACACAGAGAGACACATATCACATATGTACATACACATACAGAGAGCATACCTACTGGGATAAACATACCCATAACTTCCTACATTATCTGCTAACATGAACATGCATGGATGTGTGCACACAGGCCTGAACATGGGTGAGAGAGAGAGTGAATGAAACGGAGGGGAAGGGAAAGGGAGAGGGAAAAAACCCTAAAATTTATTCCTGAAGTCCACCTATTAGTACTTTACCCAATTGCCCAGCTATGCACATACTTACTTTCACAAAATAAAGATTCCATTATAAAATGGTTGGAGTCCTGGGCCTGAGGCAAGAAATCCGGAACACACCCTCCTGAGGGATCCCTCTCCAGCTTTGGTCAGTGGGAAGAAAACAACCACTCAGGACTTTGGGACCATTTCCCATTCATATCCTCATCTAAAAGCCCCATCTCCCCCATTCTAGCCCATCAAAGCCTAAGGGAGTTTGCTCACTATCTCCAGAAAGAGCCGTGTGAACCCGATTTTCCCACGGGTTCTTCAGGTGGGGCATGGTTATCTAAAAACATCACCTGAAACCAGAACCACACATATGTCAAGAAGTGAGCGTCCCAGGGTTGAGGGTGAAGACCGCGAGACCCAGACTCAGTGTAAAGTATGTCCTTTCAGCTAAGCAGGTGCTTTGCCGAGTCCTAAGGTTAAAAGGGCTGCAAATGGCACTTTCTTATTCCTTCTTGAATGTTAGTTCTCACTTGCCCTAAATTACTTCATGTTAACAATGGCCGGGGCCGGGGGGGGGGGGGGGGATTTGGGCTCTGGGCCCTGGTGCTGAGGCCTTGACCCTAAAAGGATGAGTGAACTTGCATCACTAGTCCCAGCTTACTGGGAGGCTGTGGCTGCCTCCTGGAGCCAGGGGCTTGCTATATGGGGGAAAATATCCTTAAAGGGATACTTAGGGACATTAAAGGGAAAGCATCCTTTGTGGCTCTCCCAGTCACGGCTGTAATTCGAGAGGCTCTTTGATGCTCTGACCCTCCCCAGGATAAAGCCAAGAGGGAAACCCAGGCTCAAGGCTATTTTCATGGGGCTACTACTATATAAAAATGAGCCTGGTTCCGGAGATCAGAAAGTCTTTCTGGGGCCCCAGGAATGTAGACTCCTAGTCAGAGGGTAACGGGGCCTGGAGTCAGATTTAGGAAGTTCAGCGGTTCCTCTCTTAGCCCCAGAAACCCTAGTGAGGGAATTTCAAACGCCCGGGATGCCCAAGAAATCCCGGACTGTCAAAGATAAGAATGAGGGCTGCTCTCAGGTCTCGGTCCAAGTCATCATAGGCTGGTGGACCCCCGACCCACAGAGGGCAAAGCCGAATCATGAGGTTCACGTGAGAGGAACTGTGAGGTGGGCAAAGGGCAGAAGGCAGGAGGCCACCAGCTCAGTGTTCCCCATGCAGGAGGAGGCCTGCCCTTGGCTCCTGCTGCCCCTTCTTGGCCCCTGCCAGGAGCAGCTACCTCGAGGGACTGGCCATGAGCTGGGAGAAGCTCCACACTCCTCTGCAAGGGACTTCACCGTCATCGCTTTCCCTCTCGGGACCATGGGCTCCAGGGCGGCAGGACGCTAGCCTGCTGGCAGGGAGCAGAGAGACGCCCATGCCCAGCTCCATTGTGGGCAGGAGGCCGAGGCCCCTCAGAGCTCTGTTCCAGGCTGAGGCTTCTTCCTTACCTCGATTCTCTTTACCACCCATTCCCACCCAGGCCTGTCTCGGCATTTCACCCCGGGCAGCTCTACCTCTGTCCCCAAGGCCTAATCAAGATGTCACCACAAGCTCCCACTGTCCAAGCCGCCGTCTTTGCTTAGCAACACCAAACACCCTCTCCCATCCTCCGCGAGTGTAAGGAGGAACGCCCCCCTCCCCCGCCATACACACAGCCCCCATCCTCTCCCTCTCCTCCGGGTTGGGAGTTGTTACTGAATTGGCTCCCTAGCCCCAGCACCCCCCTTCCCCCCTCCGCTGGCCGCCTTCTGCCTGAACTTACATTATCCTTCCCTTGCCGGTGAGACCCTGGGGTGCGAGCGCGGCCGCCGCCTTGGAAACGGCGAGGGAGTGCGGGTGGTGTGTGCATGCCTGCGTCTCGGTGGCAGGCAGGGGTGAGCCCAGCCACTCACCTTCCAGGAAGCGTGGATTCCTGGAAGTGAGGGGAACCGCCGTCATTTCGCAGGCAGCGGCAGCGGCACGGTGAGCAGGGGCCCACGGCTGCAGCCAGCGAGAACCGCTCAGCCCAGGGTGGATGTGTGTGGAGAGTGAGTGTGTGTGTGTGTGAGAGAGAGAGAGAGGGAGAGAGAGCGGGAGAGAAGGCTCGGATGTGCTTGGGGAGGGGGCTGAAGAGAACGTGTCTGTGTGTGGTGTGTACGGTGGGGGACGCCGGGCTACAGCATCCCTTTTCCACGACAGTGAAGGGGCGGGAGGGTGGGGGTGTGCACAGGGAGGGGGAGACAGATGCCGCCGCCCGCTGTTGCCCTCCCGCCCAGCAGACAAAGAGAAACTGCACAACAAATGCCTGAGAGAGGCAAGTGTGTGTGTGTGTGTGTGTGTGTGTGTGTGTGAGAGAGAGAGAGAGAGAGAGAGAGGGAGAGAGAGAGAGAGAAAGAGAGGGAGAGAGAGAGATGGATGAGCCAGAGGTGGGAGGGAAAACGGGAGGGGCCCCCAGGGAAGGCCCAATCCTCTGCCAGCTGGGGAAGCCAAGGCCCCAGAGGTCATGGGGCCCAGGACACGGGGCAGCTTCAAGGCTCTCGGCAGAGGGCCCCTCCCCCACCAGACTCTTCCCCTGCTCCAGCAGGGAGGTCGCTCTCCTGAGCTGGGGACCGACAGCCTCCCCCGCCTTCCCGGCAGCAAGAAGGCCCAGCACAGTCTGGTCTCAGGCTGGTGCTGCGCTGTGGTCCTGAGTCCCTCCAGATCCCAGGCAGAGAGGCTGGTACAGTCTCCTCGCTCCGTTCTCTCCTGGGTCCCTGGGGGCCCGGCCGCGGCAGCCCTGCAGGAATCCGCCCTCTTTCAGGACAAGGCCTCTGCTCCCTTCCCTGCTAGGACGAGCTGACCTACTTTGGAAGACTGCGTTTTTCTGTTTCCAAGAATTTGGGGGTGGGAGGGGCCGTGAAACTTCGGGCTGCCTACTCTGGATCCCTTTCCATTGAGGTTCCCTTAAACATTTCACAGCCCCAGAAAACGGGACAGGTACTGCTCAGCCAGTTAACCGCATGAGGCAAGCGCGGGCGACTCAGTTTCCCTTGAAAGGGGAATATGGGATGCGCAGGGCAGTCTGGGTGGCAAATGAATGAGCTGCTGCTTATTTTTGCCCCTCTCCCCTGTTCCAGAGAGAATGACCTGCAGGACGGGCTTTGTGCATGAGGTGCTGTGAGGTGTTAACATCTCTTTGAAGAACAGGAGGGCTGTCCCTTTCACCCAGTGGCCAGGGGACAGAAGGCCACCTGGCATGAAGGCAGAAGAGCTGAGACTGCCTGTGGAGGGGCCGTGGTGTGCTTCAGGAGGGTTCCACACTGCGACCTCCTCCTCTGCTCCTGTCAGCCCAGGAGAGATGGGCCAGTGATGGGCCCTCAGACGCCCTCAAGGGGGCTGTCTCACATATGCCCAGGCCCACGGGGGGGGGGGTACTCTGCAGAGCTAATGTTGGCCCTTCCATGACTTTCCCTGTCCCTCTCTAGAATCCTCCAAGCACAGGTGAAGGGCTCCTGGCCTCCACTTTCATTCAAACACCGTTATGTGCAGAGGCCGCTTCTTTTCTAGGAAATGCCAACCTGCTGGAAGCAAGGAAGGCTTGGTTCAGGGCACAGTGAAGCAAACAGCTTCACGAGTCTGCCACTGGTACCCAGCAGTCTCCAGAGACAGCACCGAAAGAACCCCAAGGGATCTTTCCCCAGCCCCCTTCATAGCGTCTCATTTGCCTAGCTCAGGGCAGGGACTGAGCGACCCCCAGCTCTGAAGCAGGGTCCTGAGTGTACCTGTTGCTCGATAGTGAGCAGGAGGTAGGCAGATCGGCTGATTCCCCGGAAGGACCACGACTTAGTTCCAGTAAAGTCTCTTTCAGTCAGTCCACCTGCTCCCTGTTATTCTGTCCCACATGTATCAGGGACCAAATGCCTTCACTTACTTTCACGCCTCCCCTCCGTAAACGAGAAACAGGTCATGGCCAACATCCAGCTGTGCATTCCCCAGGTGTTGCCAATGCCTCTCATACATGTGTCTGACCTTGCTGTCTCCCTTAGTCCAGGCCGATGATTCCTTCATCGGTCTTACTTCAGAGTTAAACAATAAGCTACTGGTCATTTCCACAACGGTGCCTGGATTTCTGGTGGGGACACTCCCACCATCGTGGCTCAGTTCAGGGTTCCTTTACCTCCAATGAGCATTTCTTACCCTGGCATTCTAATGATCCAAGACATGATTCCTTCTCTCCTAGAGACAAGCTGCCACAGACTCTTCTCTACATTTTCGGGGGGGGGGGGAGGGAGAGAGAGAGAGAGAGAGAGCGCTAAAGTCCCTAATTTCTTTTCATCTTGTTAAACCTGATTACTTTCATGTCTCTAAAACGCCACTCATGGGGCCGGCATTGTGGCATGGCAGATAAAGCTGCTGTCTGCAATGTGGGCATCCCTGGTGGGTGCCAGTTCATGTCCCAGCTGCTCCACTTCAGATCCAGCTCCCTGCTCATGGCCTGGGAAAAGCAACAGAAGACAGCCCTCCATGTGGGAGACCCAGAAGAAGCTCCTGGCTTCAGCCTGGCCCAGTCTTGGATGCTGCAGCCATCTGGGGAGTGAACCAGTAGATATGGAAGATCTCTCTCTCTCTGTAACTCTCTCAAATAAATAAATAAATCTTTACAAACAAATAAATAAAATGCCACTCATACTATAAGCAATGACCTCTTCTGCCCCAGTGAGAATATCTGCCTGGTGTGAAAAACTATCATGTGTTAAGACTGTGGAAAAAGATGGAGGTGAATGAAAATTGGGCTCTTGATCTCTGCCTTCAAAGGCTGTAAACTGACAGCTCACTGGCTGAATTTAGGGCAGAGATAAATTTGCCTTGTCCCAAGAAGTATTTTTAAAAATATTGAGTCATTATTTTTAAATGGAGATACTTCATATAAAATTTGGACGTTTAGAAAAAGATTTATTTATTTCAAAGTCAGAGTTACAGAGAGAGAGATCTTGCACTCATTGGTTCACTCCCTGGATAGCCATAATGGCCAAGGCTGGGCCAGGCCAAAGCCAGGAGCCAGGAGCCAGGAGCCAGGAGCCAGAAGCCAGGAGCCAGGAGCTTCTTCTGGGTCTCCCACATGGGTGGCAGTGCTCAAACACTTGGGCCATCTTCTGCTACTTTTTCCAGGCCATTAGCAGGGAGTTGGATCAGAAGTGGAGCAGGCAGGACACAAACCGGTGCCCACATGGGATGCTGGCACTGCATGGGATACCACCCACTATACCACAATGCCAGCCCTGAAAATTTGGATTTCTTTTTATTTCTGAGTTCTCTTGAAAGGTTGAGAAGTTTGGGCCATGCCAGGTCCACGTTCCTACCTGGCAGTGCTTGGTGGACACTGAAGGCTGCTGGAGGCGGGACATGTGTTCTCCAGTTCGGGACAGTACCCATGGTCTCTTCTGCTCTTATCCTAAGCTACTTCCCTCATCCACACACCCACCTGGGCCCTGAAGGCCATGGAGGTTTGGAACTCTGCTCTTGCCTCTACTGGGGTGGCATGGAATTTCATGTTTGGCCAGTAACATCAGAGCAGCAGGAACAACATCTTCCTTCCATCTGTGTATGCTTCAGATTGCTCCTCCAATAGGCCCACTTGTTTTCCCATCCCATGTCCTTATCCCCCAGGAAGCCTGGGGTGAGCGAAGTACTACTTAGGAAACGTAAATCACCAAAATAATTGCGCATTACGAAGTACTACCAAGCCCATAATCGGCTCTGGGACGCCGGCATCTGGAGGCTGCGTGCCTGGGTTGAAGGCGCTCGGCCCTGCTCCACAGGAGGATGCCTGCTCCCAGCCCCTACACGCGGGACACACAAGGAGGCGTACCAGACATATAGGAGCGGCCATTGCAGTCTTCTATGTCCATCTTAAAGAGTCTGTGGAGAGAGAAGACAGCTGCCGTTAGAGCCACATCCAGGAAGGTAGGTTCTTCTTTAACATTCTGGAGTTAGTAAGAAACCTAAAGCATCGCTTTAGTGTGGTCCAATACTATCCTAAAGAAGGAAAACCTCACGCTTTGTCCTGGTGAGAGAGACGACGTGCAAGGTTTCCGCCCACCCACCACCTCTGCAGGCTTCCCCAGCTCCAGGCTGGAAATGCTCTCGGAACTCAGAGCACTCCGGATTTCCAGCACACACAGGCCCTGCCCCTGGAGATGCAGCGGATGCTGCCAGAGACAGGCGCAGCAGCCCCCACTGAGGCTCCAGGCCTCACTTAAGGATGGGGTAGCAATGACAGGAAGAAGCTGGATTCAGTCATTTCAAGGGGTTGGCCCTGGCGGGTCTCAGGAAAGCAGGAGACAGAAGAGAGTGGCCCACCACAGCATGTAGTGGTAAACCCCTTACAGAAGGTGTGATAAACAGATTAAACCTTCCAGTGGCTTTCCCGACCCTCCTAGCAGTTACTAGCTATGCTTAGTAGTAGTATTGTTTTTTTTTTTTTTTTAAAGGGAGCACTCTGAATTTAAAATGCAGGTTAGCCTATTTGAGGGAAGGCAAGGAGTAATTGGAAGTCGAGTATTAAACAATCAGGAACTGAGAACAATTAAAAGTGATAATTGTTGCGATGAATTATCTGACTGTGAATTGTTGCAATGAATTATCTGCCTGTGGGAGAAGGGGAAGAAAAAAAAAAGTCTATGTGGTGGAAATTTACATATATCCAAGATTGCTTGTTCCACTCATCTAAGGAAAAGTAAACGCCCCACAGGCAAGAGTGAGGCCAGGAGGGCCTGAGCCATCTCTCAGAAGGATCTCACGGCACAGACGGGCGGAGACTGGATTTGCCCGCACTACCATGTGGAGTAGGGGTGGGGGGTGCAGGAGGGCAGACAGAGGGAGAGTGTCTGTTTCTCTGCCCCTTCATTCTTCTGGAGCTGGGGCTCCAGCCTGAAACCCGGGCCTCCTTGCACTTCGCAATCAAGTCTCCCTTACATTTCATCAGAGTCTACTCTCCAGCCTGGTTCCCTAGGAAGCCTGGGTGTGGGAAACACTGCTCTCCATTTATTTTCCACTCCTCTTCTCTTGACATCCTCCCTGGATGCACGGAGCTTTGGGACCAGACCGCTAGAACAAGCCACAGTAATAAGTGCTTCCTTGAACGTTCCCTTAGGGGCAGTGATTAAAAGAGCCCAAGTCCACAGTGGTTACAGAGCTCAAACCCTCTGGAACGAGCTACAGAAATGGAGGTGGTCAGAGATCCAAAGATGAGGGGGCAGTCTGGCACTCAGGGGCGCCTTTCATGTCCAAACCATCAACCCCACAGGTGCCCTCTGGGATTCTGCAAAACTACTGCAAGGCTCAAAGTGCCTGGTGTGACTTCCCTCACCTGTTCTCCATGCAGGAGAGGCAAGGGTGAGCAGTGGAGAAACTGAGGCTCAGGGCAGTTAAGCTGCTTGTCTGAGGGCACCTGGAAGGCTGGAACAAGAACAAGAACACAGGTCTCCTGCCTCCCTGAGCATACGCTCTCATGAAAGCACGCTGCTTCCTTTCAAAGCTGGGTTACTGGAGGCCTGCATGGACCTCCTGGCTTTTTTTCTGGTTCTAACATCAATTAAGGCATCTTTTCCTTTGGTGTGATTCCTGTGGGAGTGGGGTCTGTTACTTAAAAAGGAAGAACAAGTTGAGCTGGCTCCACAGGGAGAGAGAAGCTAATGCAAGCGTTTCTCTCTCTGTATGCGTGTGAGTGAGAGAGAGAGAGAGAGAGAGGGAACCAGGGCCTAGACCAGCACTAGGTGGGCAGAACAGCTGAAGCACAGCATTCAGCTAGCACTGCCTCAGGAGGTGCACATCATTCTCGGACTCCTGCCCAAGTAGCCCCAAAATAACTTCCAGAGGGGTCTGAAGGAGTTGTTTTCGGTGTCGGGCTGTCTTCCTAACAAGAAACTGAAATCTCCTCCATCTTAATTGCTCTTAACAGGTGCTCCGTAGGCCGGCACCGCGGCTCACTAGGCTAATCCTCCACCTGTGGCGCCAGCACACCGGGTTCTAGTCCCGGTCAGGGCGCCGGATTCTGTCCCAGTTGCCCCTCTTCCAGTCCAGCTCTCTGCTGTGGCCCAAGAGTGCAGTGGAGGATGGCCCAAGTGCTTGGGCCCTGCACCCCAAGGGAGACCAGGAGAAGCACCTGGCTCCTGCCTTCGGATCAGTGCAGTGCGCCGGCCGCGGCGGCCATTGGAGGGTGAACCAACGGCAAAGGAAGACCTTTCTCTCTGTCTCTCTCTCTCACTGTCCACTCTGCCTGTCAAAAAAACAAAAACAAAAACAGGTGCTCTGTGACATATCTCAGGCAAAATTGGTATTTAGCTGCCTCCACCTGGTCTAAATGCCAAGTTGGTAACCCTGGGAGTAAGAGGGCTGAGACTCCGCCGTTCCCAGGGCTGGCTGAGAGCCAGATGCAAACTCCTGGATGTGCTCTACTCTGCTCAGATCTCCTGGCACCAGGTCCTCCCAACCTTTCCCCTCCTACCCCTTTGAGTAATCCCTGCCTGACTGGGCAGCCAGAACTAAGAAGAACTGGGTCAAGTTAGGCAGTGGCAACTGGGGACTTATCGCAGCAGGAGGAAGTTAGTTACACAAGCTAGGCTTGGCTCAAAGATCTTGGGAGGAAAGTGGCTTTACAGCGGCATAAACGTCACGCAGGGAGGTAGGCGCGGACGTAGTGTAAACTCAGCACCGTGAGCCAAATACGCAGCAGCTAGAAACAATCTCCCCATTCAGAAGAGGAGCCTTGGTGAGGAAGGGGGAACGGCAGGTCATGTTGTAACCTCTGGAGACACAGATTCTCTCCCCGTTCCCTTTTTTTTTTTTTTTTTTTTTACCGCGGCTGGTGCGCTGTGGCCGGCACACCACGCCAATCCGAAGGCAGGAGCCAGGTGCTTCTCCTGGTCTCCCATGGGGTACAGGGCCCAAGGACCTGGGCCATCCTCCACTGCACTCCCTGGCCACAGCAGAGGGCTGGACTGGAAGAGGGGCAACTGGGACAGAATCCGGCGCCCCAACCGGGACTAGAACCCGGTGTGCCGGCGCTGCAAGGTGGAGGATTAGCCTGTTGAGCCGCGGCGCCGGCTTTTTTTTTTTTTTTTTAATAATTATTTGACAGGTAGAATTATAGACAGTGAGAGAGAGAGACAGAGAGAAAGGTCTTCTTTCCATTGGTTCACCCCTCAAATGGCTGCTGTGGCCGGCGTGCTACGCCGATCCGAAGCCAGGAGCCAGGTGCTTCCTCCTGGTCTCCCATGTGGGTGCAGAGCCCAAGCACTTGGGCCATCCTCCACTGCCTTCCTGGCCACAGCAGAGAGCTGGACTGGAAGAGGAGCAACTGGCGCCACAGGTGGAGGATTAACCAAGTGAGCCATGGTGCCAGCCCCTCCCCTGTTCTTTTGAGTCCACTTGGCATCCTGAGTGTTCCACAGCCCTGGAACATGTTATCACATATGAACAGGCATGGTGTTCTTTCTAGACACAGGTTTCCTGTCAGACTCCCTGACAAGCAATGGTGAGGATCAATCAGGGTCTCGCTTGCAGAGGCAGGTAAGACATCAGCTGCCCCACTCTTCTCCCCTAAGACTTTCCTAGAGCTCTAAATATTGGTAACAAAAATGTGAGGAAGTCAAGTTTTCTCTGGGTAGTGGCTCTGAATGCCTGAAATAGGATAGACATCCCAAGAAATTAAAACTCTTAAAATCTTCCACAGAAGTTAATCAGATCCAGTGCTGGGTATTGTGGTACAGGGGGTTAAGCCACCATCTGCAATGCCAGCATCCCAGATCAGAGTGCTAGTTCAGGTCCTAGCTACTGCACTTTCGATACAACTTCCTGGTGCACCTGGGAAGGCAGTGGAGGATGGTCCAGGTACTTAGATCCCTGGTACCTATGTGGGAGACCCAGATGAAGCTCCTGGCTCCTGACTTTGGCCTGATCCTGTTCTGGCTGTTGTGGTTATTTGGGGAGTGAACCAGTGGATGGAGGATCTCTCTCTCTCTCTCTTTCTCTCTCTCTCTCTCTGCTTTTCTCTGTCACTTTGCCTTTAAAAGAGATTTTTCACTTTTATATTTATTTTATATTTTTTGTTTTTTATTGACAGGCAGAGTGGATAGTGAGAGAGAGAGACAGAGAGAAAGGTCTTCCTTTGCCGTTAGTTCACCCTCCAATGGCCGGCGCGCTGCGGCCTGTGCACTGCACTGATCCAAAGGCAGGAGCCAGGTACTTATCCTGGTCTCCCATGGGGTGCAGAGCCCAAGTATTTGGGTCATCCTCCACTGCACTCCCGGGCCACAGCAGAGAGCTGGCCTGGAAGAGGGGCAACTGGGACAGAATCCAGCGCCCCGACCAGGACTAGAACCCAGTGTGCCGGCGCCGCAAGGCGGAGGATTAGCCTAGTGAGCTGCGGCGCCGGCCAAAACAAAGTTTTTTTAAAAAAAGAACTTTGTTCTATCCATTGATACCCCAAAGTTGGAATTTTAAACATATGCATAGCAGCTTAGTAGGTAGAAAGGTAGTGAGGAGGGTGTTGTTGGAGTGAGGTGTGGTGATGAAAGTGGTAAAGATCCAGGCCATCTTTTTGGTTATTAGTCTCAAACTGCAACAGACAGAAGTGGAAAAAACAATTTCTACAGTTTCCCACAGGAGCTGGGTTCTGGGTGATCATGAAGACACCTTCCACAGGCCTTGGGCATGAGCAGTTCAAGTACTTTAAGTAGATCAAACCCACAGCTTCACCCTCTCTTCTCTGTGCTCTCCTGAATGAATAAAATCTGAGCAAAACCAGGTTGGACTCACATAGCTGGCCCTGCGTAATTGGGGAAAGGACAAGGGGCAAAGGTGAGGAGAGAATGCAGAACCAGACACTGCACATCGCATTCCAGGAAGCAGACCTAGGCACTCAGCCATCTGCAGCACTGCAACCATCTTCAGGGTCAGCCTAGAGCCCTCTGAAGGGAGCCCACCAACAGGTGCTCAGCCCATGTGTCTGTCTTTACAGCGGAAAAGTCTGCCTCGTTTTTCACCAGGCTGTAGACACTGACCTTCTGTCTGTGGGAAATACAGATGAAGACGGCTCAGCTTCATTATCCAAGTGCCTGGCGAGCAGGGAAGAGGGGATGAATCCCCAGGTCGCCCTAGAAGTGGCCAGTCTCTAACATAAGAGGGACGAGCTGGAAACACAACACCTGGGCAGCGGGAAGCTATTGCCTCATTGTCTCCTTTCAGGTCTCACATGCATCTTTTCTTTTGTGCTTTGTGCTTCCCTGTCCTCACCAGGTGGACTGTGGAAGAGTGAGAAGGCTGAGGTTTGTGGGTGGGAGGAGAAACAATTCCATCCTTCCCTTGTCTCACTTCAGAACTTAAGAAACTAAGGAGAAGGGCCAAGCTGAACACTTTACATCACCAGATGTGGTACACAAGGGATGATACTTTCTGTATTTTTTGGGTATACCCCTGAGTATACAAGCTCTGTGTTTATGGAAAGGCCCCTCAAGGCGCCCGGAAGTTGAACTGCTGTTCAGTTCTGTTAGCACAGCAGTGCAGAAAGCAGAGCAAGGGAGTTCGATTTGCTTCAGTTTTGAAGCTGAAGATAACAGGGTTAGCTCTCTCAAGTGTTTTAAATGGCATGCGAGTCTCAGTTGACTACTCTTATTAGGGTACAGTGGCAAAAACATGGGCAAAAGCCGGCGCCGTGGCTCAATAGGCTAATCCTCCACCTTGCGGCGCCGGCACACCGGGTTCTAGTCCCGGTTGGGGCGCCGGATTCTGTCCCGGTTGCCCCTCTTCCAGGCCAGCTCTCTGCTATGGCCAGGGAGTGCAGTGGAGGATGGCCCAGGTGCTTGGGCCCTGCACCCCATGGGAGACCAGGAAAAGCACCTGGCTCCTGGCTCCTGCCAGGATCAGCGCGGTGCGCCGGCTGCAGCGGCGGCCATTGGAGGGTGAACCAACGGCAAAAGGAAGACCTTTCTCTCTCTGTCTCTCTCTCTCTCACTGTCCACTCTGCCTGTCAAAAAAAAAAAAAAAAAAAAAAAAACAAAAAAAACATGGGCAAGACAGGAACATGCGTAACACTAGCCAGGAGTCCCTAACACATGCTGATCACAAGAACTCACTGTTGGGGGGCAGTTAAGATGCCTCTTGGGGCACCCCATCCCTTTCTGCAGCGCCTGGTTAGGAGTCCTGACTCTGCTTCTGACTCGTGTCGTTAATGTGCAGCCCAGGAGGCAGCAGGTGGTGGCTCCAGAACTTTGGTCCTCGCCCCAGGTGCAAGGCCCAGACTGAGGTGCAGACTTTGTCTTAGCCCAGCTCAGACCTGGCTAGTGCAGGCATCTGGGGAGTGAACCACCAAATGGAAGATCTCTCTCTCTCTCCATCTGTCTCTCTCTGCCTTTCAAACTAAGATCTCACTGTTGTTTGGACCAGAAAGATGATAGCTTTGGGCTTGTCTGCTAAGGATCTTGCTCTAAGCTAATCTGGTAAGCTTCTCTTCTGCAGGGTTTGGAAATGATGCCCCAGGGACCTGGGGAATCCTGGAGCTGAGATGGAGTTGAGAAATGGTCTCCAATCTCGATTCATTTTTTTTAAAAAAAGATTTATTTTATTTATATGAAAGGCAAAGTTACAGAGAGAGAGGGTGAGAAACAGAGAGAAACAGAGATCAAGAGAGAGATTGATCTTCCATTTACTGGTTCACTCCCCAAAAGGCCGCGACAGCCAGGGCTGGGCCAGACCAAAGCCAGGAGCCTCTCCCATGTGGGTACTGGGGCCCAAGCACTTGGACTATCTTCTGCTACTTTCTCAGGTGCATTAGTCGATAGCTGAATCAGAAGTGGAGCAGCCTGGACTTGTACCAGTGACCACAAGCAGCAGCTTTACCTGCTACACCAGAACATCTTAATTTGTAGCAGGAGAAACTAAGCCCAGAATCACCTATCCAGTTAGCAACACAAGCAGGAGAACTAGAACCTAGGTTACCAGTAGAGGGTTCTCCACTGAAACACAAAGTTTAATTCTGACCCAGCTGGAAGGTTTGGGCCACCTGCTTGCCTTCTTTCTTGGGTTAATTAGATGAAGTTTTGGGCTCTGCATCTTGGTGACTTAAATCACTGGACTGTAGACACAGGCTTATCAACGGGAGAAGAAATAATCCTCTCTCCCCACATTTCTTTTCCAAAATTTTGGAATGGGGCCGGAGTGGGGCTGGAGTTGTGGGTAAAGCCACTGCCTGCGATGCTGGCATCCCATACAGGTGCCAGTTCAAGACCTGGCTGCTCTGCTTCTGATCCAGCTCCCTGCTAATGTGTTTGGGAAAGCAATGGAAGATGGCCCAAGTGCTTGGGTCCCTGCACCCACATGGGAGACCTGGAAGAAGCTCCTGACTTCCTAGCTTTTGGCTTAGCCCAGCCCCAGCCATTGTGGGACACTTGGGGAATGAACCAGTGGATGGAAAATCTCTCTGTCTCTTCTTCTCTCTGTATAACTCTTTCAAATAAATAAATAAATCTTAAAAAAGAAAGAAGGAAGGAAGGAAGGAAGGAAGGAAGGAAGGAAGGAAGGAAGGAAGGAAAGAAAGAAAGAAAGAAAGAAAGAAAGAAAGAAAGAAAGAAAGAAAGAAAGAAAGAGGGGAAGAGGAGGCCAACGTTGTGGTATAGCTGGTTAAATCACTGCCTGCAGTGCCAGCATCCCATATGGGCACCTTTTTGAGAGCTGGCTGCTCCATTTCCAATCTAGCTCCCTGTTAATGCACCTTGGAAAGCAGCAAAGGATGGCCCAAGTACTTGGGATGCTGCACCCACACGGGAGACCAGAAGAAGCTCCTGGCTCCTGGCTTTGGCCTGGCACAGCTCTGGTCGATGAGACCATTTGGGGAGTGAAATAGCACATGGAAGATTCTCTTTCTTTCTGTGACTTTGCCTTTCAAATAAATAAATCTATCTATATCTGTCTATCTAAATAAAGAAATTATGGGCCTGAGGGAAATACCAAACTAAATGTTCTTTAAGGTAGGGTGTCCCTTAGATGGAGGACTACCCCCCCAGCACATGTGCAGCATCAGAGGCTTAAAGTAGATCCTACCCCAGGAGACCAGGTCATTAATATCAGCACGGCCCTTACTTAGATGTTTTCCTCTGATAAACCTTGACCCTGGCTCTCTGTTTCCAGAACAGAGCCCATAACTCTTCTAAGAAGAGAAGAAAAATCAAACAGCCTGAAATTCAAAGCCTTCTCCAGCAGAGTCAAGAAACCAATAAAGAAAGGGAGTTCCTCTGCCCGTGTCAGTGTCTACACCCACAGGATCCCATATTCTTATGTTTTCCTACACAATAAAAGGAGGCTAGAAATACCTGCCCAACAGTCACTTTTCTTTTTTCTCTGTGTGTGTATGTGTGAATGGAGAGAGAGAGAGCGAGCGAGCGAGAGCGAGAGCCAGTGTATACCGGGGGAAGGTGGGCAGGGTGAAAAGTGGGATAAGTTTCTCCCATGCTGGGAAGTACAAGCTGTAGTTTTCAAACTAAGAGGAAATAAAGAAACTTTCAGCTGCGTTTTCACTGGAGAAAGGTCAGGCCTTATTTCTGAGCCAAGTCCTGAAATCTGACTTTCCCTCAACCTGCTGAGAGCTAGTGAACTACCCGGCAGCTGCCACTGAACTGACTGCAGGCGGCGGGCAGCAAAGACTTTAATGCCGTGTGGAGACAGCAGCAGCTCCCGACGAGGATGAGCTACAGGTGTGAGGCTGCCAGAACGAGGGCAGCGCCCACCACGAGGCCCACCCAGAACAGGCCAGCGAAATCTCTCCTGCAGCCTATTTTTACCTCAGGAGTCCCTCTGACTGTTCTCATGACCCAGGGGACTCTCTGGTTCCCTGGTTCGGGGCTGTTGGGAAGGCTACCTACCCCACGAGGCGAGATTTACTGACCTGCTGGCAGGCTCATGGAGAGATGGCGGATCATCAGTTAAATACGTTATCCATTCCTGCCAGACACGACACTGTGCTAAGGCCGATTTGTTCTTCGTTCTCAGAATCTGAGTTGCCGTTAGTGGAAATAGTCTAGGTAGTCAGACACCTGTTTTTCTCACTTCCTAAGGATGTGGGTGTTTACCTTCACCCAGGCCAAGTAAGCAAGCAGCAGTAAGGGGAGATGGCCATGCCTCAATGGTCATCTGGTGGCCATCATGATGGAAGGTCAACTGCAAGTCTTAGGGCTGAAATGTGAGCCTGCCAGGAATAAAATCAAGCCCACCACTGATCCTCTGAGGCCTCAGGCTGGGGGAATAAAAAGATGGACATAGCAGGAGGTACCACACATAGGAGAGCTGATAGAACAGCAGACAGTTCTGCTTCTGAGGGAGTGGGAAAGAGAAGGTATGCAAAACTCTACACAAACTGGGGTTGGTAGGTTGGTATTACATCAAATCTTCCTGGAAACAGAGTACATTCTTGACCTCGGAGGGGAGATGGATATCTATTACTAACCATCGCATCATCTAAAGGACCACATTCCATTAAACACTGCAAGGTCGCCAATCGGTCCTAGAACATTTAAAAAGTGAGAATCTACAACTCCTAGCAGAGCAGGAGTAAGAAAATAACTGGGGAATGGGTCTGCGTGAGGGGGTACACGGAGGGCTGAGTATTCTGGAAGCTGGCAGCCTGCTCCCCAAGTCTATAGTTCCCATCCCGATCCGGATGTCTGCCCCGGGGGCTTCCTCGGTCCCATTCCTTTCTTAGGGCTCTTTTGCCCTAAACCTCTCTCCTCCCCAATTCCCTACACTTCTCAGCCCTGACAGCGCCGCTCATTCCACCCCAAGTTTTTTCTCTCCTGCTCATTGCCTCCAGACAGTCCCACCTCGGCCTACGTCTTCCTCTCCAGCCTTCTGACCAAACCCCGGGGTCCCTCGTTTCGTTTTGTCCTGCTTTTTCCTCCTCTGCCCTGTCCCTCGGTTCTCCCCCAGTCGTCCCCCACAGAGGAGCCCCCGCGCACACCACTTCCTACCTGTTCTCTGCCCACTGCCTTGACCCACCTCTCGAATTTTCAAGACCCCCCCAGGCCCCTGCTACTTCCTTTCAATACGGGGGCCCTCGGGTCAACTCCCTTAGGCCAGCTTGCGCCTCTCCAGCCCTAACCTACCCGGCGTCCACGTCTCCCCTCTCTTCAAACCCTAGCCCCATCAGGCCCCGCCCCTACCCCGAGGCCCCTCCCCCGCCTCGCCTAAGCCCCGCCCCTCACTCACCTGAGGCGTCTCCGCGCGCGCGCAGGCTGTTGGGGGTGGGGGAGAGGGGACGGTGTTTGGGAAGAGGGGGGCGGGGCGGCTGGGGTCCCCCACTCTGGCCCGGGTGGCCCAGCGCGGGGGTAGCAGGGTCACTGAGGCGGCGGCAGCCGGGCCGGCGCCGGGACCCGGTCGCTCAGCGGCGGCGGCGGCTCCATCTTCATCAGCGGCTTCACCTGAGGAGGGACTGACCCCCCCCAGACGCCCCCCCCATTCCTGCCTTCCCCCCCTCCCCAGAGCAACTTCCGGTCCCACTACCAAGCGACAGGCGGCGTGGCCGAACACCGAGCGCCCCCGAGCCGGGGAGACTGCTGGAGAAAAAAGGGAGAGGAGCTAGGGGAGAGTAGCCGAGCGTCGAACGACTCCAGTCCGAGAAAAAGCTGTCGCGCGCGCAGAGGGTGACTCAACCGCTACCACTTCGTCTGCATCTAATTTGGAAACTAGGCGCGTATTGGGCGCACCCCGTGCCCTGGAACGGCTGCCCCTAGTGTCAAGTTTTGTCCGTGTCCCTAAGACAGTATTGATTTGAACTTAGCGTTCTGTGCTAAGTGTGCGGGAATCCGGGTTGGAAGGTGCCCAGTTTTTCATGTCTTCTCTCTCCCTGGCTACCCTGAGGTCAGTTACCCGGACATCGGACATCGGAGAAGCCAGCCCCACTCCCGGCCTCCCCGGCGCCAGCTCCCTTTCTCTCCTCTGCTGACCTTTGGCGGCTGGCTCGGGGCTAGACTCGTTACTCCAGAACATCTCAGGATCGGGGGCCCCAGACTCACAATCTTAAACAGATACCACTTTATTGATGAGTTTAGAAAAGTAGAATTAAAAAGGGAGAGAACCATGCGCCTGGCTCTTCTCAGAAGCCTCGTATCCCAGAGAGGTAGTAGAGACAGCACAAAACCTTTTCTTAGGCGTCTTACCCGTTCCCTGAAGAGTCCAGGAGAAATGGGGATCAGAAGTAGGGGTGGGGTAGGAAGGGAAAATAGAAAGTTGCTCATCTCCAGAATTACTTTCACACATTGGCCCCTTGCACCAACAGCTCTGACCTCCTAGCAGGGGGTCGAGCCAGGAGTGTGTAACACAATGTTGGGGGGGTGCCTGGGCCGAAATGTGCAGTGTATGTGCCTGTACCTGGAGAAGGCGTAGGAAGGCACAGTACAGGGCTATGGTCCAAGAAGTAGAAGGTGAGGGAAAGGTTTTCCTGTGGCAGCGAGGCCAAAGGATGGATGGGGAAAGGGTTTTGGTGATTCTGTGACGTCATGGGGCGACTCGGACGTGGACACGGTGCCAGGCGTTGCTGAGCACACCGCGGAGGTTCCAGATTGGGGCCACAGTGTCCGGCTGCACGTTGTAGCTCTCATCCACAGCCTTACAGACAATGTGCAGTTCTTTCTGCCCAGCTGGCACAGGTGCTTGCAGCTGCCACAGACGCCAGGCCCAAGCCTTCCTGGGGCACTGTTCCTCTCCATACAGCTCAGCGGCCTGCCAGGTCAGGCCCCCATCCAGCGACACGTCCACTCGGATCACAGCCCTGCCACCGCCACTCCACGCATAGCCCTTGACGGTCACTTCTCCCGACTCCACAGTCTCCCCGTCCCGCGGCTCCGTGATGGCCGACTGCACGGGAAGTTCCTGAATAGACGGAGCTGAGTCAAAATCCACAGTGTCCCAGTCCACAGACGGAGAGAAGCCTTTGTAATCCCGCCGCTGCCAATGGCTGCCACTCTCCTCTGGCTGCACGCTCACTCTGCCCAGCCACTTGACGTGGCGGGCGCCCACCACACCGGGAACCACCACTCGCACGGGGAAGCCGTGGTCACGAGGCAGGGGCTCTCCATTCATCTCATATGCCAACAGGACATCAGCTGCAGGGTCCAAGGCCCGAGCCAGAGGGATGGATGCTCCGTAGGCGGTCCCAGTGGGGTCTGAGTCCAGGCCTTCAAAGCAGACGTGGGCCTCAGCTTCAGAGAGCTGGTGGCCGGCCTGGACCAGCACATCACAGAGGCGCGCCCCAGCCCAGCGTGCAGTGCTGATGGCCCCAGTATTCCACTCCAGACCTTTCACTTCCTTGACCTGAGACATCTCAGAGCGGCGGTTGCCGGCACACTGCAGTGTGACTGTGACCTCGTGTTTGGGAAACTTGCGCAGGTCATCCAGGGACAGACACAGTGACTGACCCCCAGGGGCCCCGACAACGTGCAAGCGATAGGTGTCTGGGTCCAAGTTTGGAACAGGCAGATGGTTCCGGGTGAAGAAGAGAGGGTTGGGTGTGATATAGTTTTCTGTTAGCAGCTCAGGGGGTGGTTCTGCATTAAAGGGACGCTGGCTGTTTACCTTCAGAGCTGGGTGACGGACAGGATCGTCAGCATAAGGGTTCGAAGTCTCTAAGGTGGAGGGTGTGGTGTCTTCGGGGTGCAGCTCCCCAATCTTGTACTGAGCCAGTAACTCACGCACGTGGGGCTGGTTGTGAACAGCATAGAGGGCCCAGAAGGGCTCTAGGGGACCCCCGGCTGCTAGCATCAGCTTTGATGCCCCCCCCGGGTGGAGGTCCACAAATTCTGTGACGTCGAAGACCTCACTGCCAAGAGTTACCCAGATCCCAGTCTCAGGCCTGCTGTGGGAACGTACTTCTTCCTTAGAGTATATGTGTGGTGACTCCTGGGCAGCCTGTTGGCAGGAAAGGGGTGAAGCCAAAGGGAAGAAGGTATTACGAAGAAATCACTCTAGCTTACTCCAACCCAACCCACAGCCTTAGCCAAGGATCTGAGGGTGGCAGATACCATCTCTCTACCCTGGGCTGTGTGATAACAGCAAGGACACAGGTCACACGGGAGCTCACCCTGTTCCCCACTTACCCTACACCGATGGTGATGATAGGCCAACACCGCACCAAGGCCTAGAAGGGCCCCCGTGACTCTCCATCCCTTAGTGCTGGAATTCTCACTGGAAACGGTGAGGCTGGGACACTGGGGTTGAAAGGAATCATTTGTAGAGCAGGCCTGAGTGCAGAGCCTGGAGGGGGCTGACCTGAGTCTGGAAGAGAGAGAAATCTTAGTGGCACGTAAGGTCCCGTGGAAGTGCTGGTTTGGTCCAGGGGGCTACCTCTTCCTAGTTGACCAGTTGTCCCTTCCCTTGCAACTTAGTTTCTCCAGCAATGGGTGGGTGCAGGTGGGATCCAGCTTTCCCTTTCCACCCACTCCACCCTTTCAACTCTTATCTGGTAGATAAGACAGTTGTTATCTGGGAGGCAATCCTGGGAGGGCATGGCCTACCTGCAGGCCTGTCGGAGTCCTGGGACCATGGCTCTGTGCAGCAGTAGCATTGTGGCAGACCTGCAGGAGAATTCTGAGGTGAAAACAGGGAGCCCCCTGGGAGGGGATGTTAGGGAGATCTGAGGGAATGGGTGGGAGGAGGAAGACGATGAGGAAGGTCGGCCAGGAGCTCTCTGGGCACATGAGGAGTTCACATGGGCCCCCAGAGAAAACTTGGAGGACCTCACTAGGGGGAAGAATTCAGAGCTTCTAGAATCGCCCACCTCCTGTCTACCCAGTCTCTATATTACAGACAATGACTGAAGCTAGCAGCCCAAAGGGCAGGAGCTACATGCCAACTTATTACTTAAGTCAGCAAGAGGACAACTTAAAAAAGGACAAAAATGTGAAAAGGGTAGTGGTAACCTAATGAGGTGAGGGAACTCAGAGGCTGGAGGCCAACTGCACTGGGCTTGTGAAACCGAGTCCTGCACCCCGGGCAGGATTCCAAGCCTCTCGGAACCTGCCTTCAAATCTGAAATGAGATCTACCTAGCAGAGCTGAGATGAACAGCAAACAACACTGTCTCTGAAGGCCTCTCAGCACCCTCCTTCCCCGCCACCCCTCAAAACTGAACACAGCCAGAAACTGGGTCCCCAACCTGTGGTTTCACCCTCACCTTGTCCATGCAGGACTAGTGAGCTCAGCAAATTGAGGAGTCAATGGCCGGGGTGTCAGGGGATGGGTTGGAGAAGGAAGTTCATTTTTCTGCTCTCTGTCCTGCAGCAGTTTCCTGCTCATCCCACTGGGCAAAGTACTGACCCCAGAGGGCTGGGGTGGGGAGGAATGAGAAGTGTCCCCACTGCTGAGGAGATGCTGGGGACCCGCGGGAGGGGAGGCAGAGAAACTGCCAGTGCCATGGGAACAGGAAGGGCGCCTGCATTCCCCTACCGCCTACTCTCTATCCCAGAAGCCTGCTTGAACCAAGAGAGATGGACGCAGGGTTGTTGGCAGAACCCAGACTCCCAGGTTTGGGAGGGGCGGCCTTTTGCTGCAATACAGAAATGCCGCCCCGGTGCGGGTAGTGGGCTCTCATGCCCCCGGGGGAGCACTTTAGGTAGGTGGGTATGTCCCCTATCCGGGCACAAGTAGCAGGCCATATGCCCCTGCCTAGCTGTTGGCCCAAGAGGGTCTCGCAGCAATACCCCACGGTCCCAAGAGCTCCCGGGCAGTGAACGCAGAGGCGAATAGCGGCAGTCTGGTTATCCTTGAAGTGTGGAACGCCGCTGGCTGCCATGGCCCCCGCCTCCGCCCGCCCTCCCTTCCTCCCGCTGCCCGCGGCAGCCCCCTTACCCTGTCCGCCGTCCGCGCCGCGGCAGTTTTACCCGCCCGGCGCCCGCGAGCGCTCGAGGAGGGGCGGAGCCGGCGCCGTGACGTGTGGCCGGAGGAGAGGCTCGCTCACGCCCCTCCGCTGGCCCCCGGGCTATGGGCCCGCCGGGGGCCTCCCACCTGGGGGCGGCGGCGAAGGGTTCGGAGCCGAGCAGCTGAGTTTTTGTCTCCACTCGGCGCTTGACAGCCTTTGATTTGAGTCGACTGTGGCCTTGGTGGGCGAGGGAGTGGGCCCTGATGTCCAGAGCTGTTCAGAACCCGGCGGTCTTAGAAGGTCTGGCTGAGAGGTGGGAGAAGGGAGATGTCCCCGGGCCGCCCTACAACCCGGGGTGCGGAGCGGAGTTCACCCGAGGCCGGGGACCCAGCCGGGTACCTCCCGGCCGCGAGCTCCGCCCCGACCCTGTTTTTGACAAGTTTCTGGCCTGCAACTCCAACAGCCCTGTTTTTCTTCAAGGAAAGCAAGGTCCAGGAATGAGAGAAATGAAGCCTAAAATATAGTTCTCAGACTTCGAGATTATCTGGATAGCTGAATTTCTCCCTAAATTATGGAACCAACACTGAAGAGCCGTCTTTTTAGTCAGTTCTTTAAAAAAAACGCCCTTTAAAAATATGCAGTTTATAACTTATCTCAAAGCAAATAACACTAATAGAATAAATTCGCCGTTACCCGCTTATCATTTGGCGCGAGACCAAAAATTTGCCAAACCTGATCCCGGATCCTGGCGCAAACCTATCTGTACACTGCCCCCTAGAGGCCGGAAAGCGGAGCTACAGCGCCAGTCGGTTCGGGGGAAGGTCTTCACCCTTAAATTGCTCGATCATTTCCCTCCCTTCCTGCTTTCCAGAGATTTTACCAGGTTACCAAGGAGCCTGCGCAGAGTGCTACAGAGAGAGACGGCAAAAGGGCCGACAGTGAAAAGTTCAGCTTGGTTCTTAAATTTTTGGAGAAGTTTCCAGCTGGTGTACAATGAAGTCATTGGAGAGGCCTGATGCTGGGTCTAGCTAGCTTGACCAAGGCAACGGCCAGGACTGGCACCACCATCCTCTCCTGTTCTCCTTCAGAATCTTTGGAATTTAACACTACTGCTGCAGTCACACCTAATCTTCCCTGCTTCACTTTCCCCCGGGGACTGAAGGACTTGAGTGCAGCAGCAGTGGAGAGCAGTAGGTCTATGGAGATTTTCTTCTTGGGATGGAAGGCGCATGACCAATCAAAAAAAAGCTAATTCAGGGATTTATTTGTTTAACCTTTGGGTAATGGCCCCCTTTGAGAAAGTAATTTATCAAGAGATTCTAGAAAAAGGCACATGAACTTTTTGCATATTATATAAGGGATTCACAAATAGCATCCCTCCCTCGACTATTTCCATGGTTTCAGAGATTCTAAAAACATAAAATAGGGGTCATATTTGATGAGCTATCTGGTTCTGAGAATGGGGGTGATTAGTTAGCAATAAAAGAGCTACTTTCCAAATCGGATTCTTTTAGTTTATGAAAGATTAAAGGGAATAAAGAGATACACCAAGATGCAGGCAACGTATATTTCTGAATCAATAAAAGATTATTGGGTATACCTTCTTCCAAATTTCTAGTGCCAGACAAAATAGCAAAAAATGAAGCAACACTCCAATGCACTTTTTTTTTCCTTTTTTACTTACATTAAATACATCGGTAAATCAGCAGTCGCATTCTGTTACCACGATTGTTATGTTGGGAGAGGAAGAAAAGGAAAGAAAGGCAAATGCTTTCTTAGAAGAAGGGGAAGACACCCTCCTCCTCTAAAAAACTGATAAGAAAAAAAAATGAAGAGGTGGGAAATAAAAAACTAAGACCCCCAAGCTCAACAGAGCTTAAAGGAAGGCAGAAGAGCTGGTGGGAGTAGAGGGACGGCAGCAAATAGGCCCAGAAGCTAAGGCCAATACTGTTCCTAAGGGGCGGAGTAGGGAGAAGCGGCCCAAGGAGACGGTCTCCCAGCCCCAAGGCAATAAAACATCTTCACTCTTGCTCCTTGGGGAAAGCTGCACAAAGAATTTCATTTCTGAGAGACTCAAGAGAGCCATCCCAGTTCTTCCACATGTAAAAAGAATGTACTGGGTGCGTTGAGAGGCTAGTGGGTCCTGGGAAAGGAAGGGAGAAATGGACACATGTTTCAGGGCCATGAGAACTAAGGCTGCCCCCGGAAGAGGAAGAGAATGTAGGCCTCAGCTTCATGGATTTCTCAGCTGCTCTGGGATACAAGGCAGTCTGCAAGCCAGATGGGCCAGAAAATTTCCAATTCTAGGTGAAAACAGCTTTTCCTATCTTTCTTCCCCTAATTTTCCCAAAACTCTGGGCTAGAACAAGAAGGAACTTGGGAGTTTTTTCTTGCTGTAATGGCTTCCCCCCGATGTCCTAAAACACCTGACGAGAGGCTGGATATTTAGAAAGGACCAGTGTCCTCTGATGATGTGAGACAGCTGTGAGGTGCCTTCAGTACTAGTCATTCCCTGTCCACAGGAACAGGTGGTACACGAAGGGACCACAAGTAGGCTGCTGTGGTATCAGTCCCTAGTGGCTCACAAATTAAACCACCTGTTAGGAAGAGGGACTGGGGATAAGGACAGAGGAACTGAACTCAAGATAGAAACAAAGGAGAAAAACAGGGCCAGATGAGAGGCAGGAGATTGAACAGACTATACAGTGGGAATAAAGATCAGACCTATTTACAGAAAAGTAGAAAAGACATGGTAATGGAAATCAAATTGAATGTGAACCCTTGGAAAGGACAGAAAACTCCTCCCTTTTGTCGGACCCCTCTTTTCTCCCTTACCTTGATCTATGCTATCCTGACACCATTCCCCAGTTGCTTAATTAATTCTCCAGGGAAAAGATATATATGTTTTCAAGAGTATGTACGTATATATGTATGTACACACACACACACACACACTCCTGAGCTAGGTTTGCAAGACAGGTTGTTAATGAGTTGGAGGAAGCTAGCAGTGGAGGCTGGGCTTGAGTAGCTGCCACTGGTACTGTTCTCTACACCTCCTTCCAAAACCACATATACTCTGCAGATTCCATTTAATTAAAAAGGTAGGACCATGTAAATAGCCACACAGCCCGGTGACTGGGCCTGGGACACTCAGGTCATGTGCCAGGTGTGTGTTGCTTCAGTTACAGTCACTGCCTTGCGTGTGACCGCAGACAGACCCACATAAGGAGATTCAGCCACCTTCTGACTTCAAGCCATGACCATCCACCACCACACGCCATTTCTTGAGTACCTGTTCTGTAAGGGGCACTGTTCTGGATATTGTATGGAAGGGGATTCCAGAGAGATAAAAGGCACAGTCATTGCCCACAAGCAGCTTGTAATTTAATTTGGGAGCTGAAACCTACTCAAATGAAGTGGTCTACGACTGGTAACAAGCAGTGTCATACACTTGTCCATGTCAACCCCACTGATGACTCCACTCGTGAAATGATCAAATATGGAGATGACAAAAACATTGATATTCACTTGAAAAAGACCAACCCTTGGAGACTTGTCAGTAACCAGCAGACAGACTGGTCCTTCAAGCTGAAAGGAGTTCTCCGCGATGCCTCCCAGGACTTGCTTTATCAGACAGTTGCAAAGGTTTCTCAGGCCCTCAATGTCTATAATGGCAATTCAGTTACTTGTCTTACCTAAGAACCTGAGGAGCCCCTCCTGGAAGAAGAGGTGCAAGTATTTTATGATGAATAAAATTGAACCTCACTAAAAACAAAAAGGTAGAAGGACAGGTGATCAGTAACTCCCCCCACAAAACAAGTATCCACTGAACTACCACCAATTAAAGTGCAAACGGCAGGGGGTTGTGGTCGTTGGGGCTGAGGCCATCCAAAGGCCAAAGGGAGGGGAAAATGCTGATGTATCAGTCAGAGGATGGGTGTCAGAACTGGTGGCCACCCCTCCCCCCCAATTAAATGACAGCAGAGTCAAAGATGCAGGCAACCAGTGAAGATTCTTTGGAGGACTCTGGGTTTTGATCCCCATTGTTAGAGAGATGCTACCCAGGAGACTTGGTGAGGGCAACCTGGGCCTGGAAGAGCCCAGAGCCAGAGACAACCTTGCACCTCCTCCTCTGTCCAGTTAACAACCTGACTCCCCCCAAAACCTAAGAGTTTATCTCCCATTCTCATCTCTCCCCAGGACCATCTCCACAAGGCCAGCCCGTGGATACTGCTCTGCGTTCAAATATGAAACTCCAACCAAACTGAAACAAAAAGGAAGTGTTTCCTTACTCCCTTCTGTTCTGGGCCTTGTTCTCCCCCAGGGCCCTTGATGTGACTTAAATAGAAACCTTCTTCCTCAGTTCCTGGGTTAACCACCTTCTCCATCTTGGGCAGAGGAGAAAAACAGGATTAAGAACAGGGATTCTCAAAAGCAAAAGGGGGAAGGGCAGGAGACAAAAGTGTTTTCTGAAAAGATGGGAAAGAACACTGGGGAGGAGAAGGAAAGATAAGTAGGTCTCTGTCTTGCACCTATAATACAAAGTGAAGAAAGTTTGTTTTGGAAGGTAAGTCCTGGGGGATTTGACCTCTGACCCCCACAGTGAGGGGTAGGAGGCCAGTGGCAACAGCTGCCTGGTGTTGGTTGCTGAAGCGTTAAAAAGTGCCACGACGGAGCTGTCAGGAGGCAGCCCTTGGGAGCCAGGGCTCAGTGTGCTGTTACCGTAGGGGCTGTGTGCTGAGGGGTGGGGATGGAGGTTATTTCTTAGCTCTCGTGCTAGCTCCATACTTCTTTGCTGCTAGCCACCCCCTCAGTTGCTACAACACTGGCTCTTGTTCTGCTGGGACTGCTCATGAAGATCCACGCCCCGGCTTCGGCCTGCTGCACCCCCCAGATTCTGGGGTTCACTCTTTGGCAACTTCTTAGCTAGAGATAAAAAGAGAAGGGAACAAAGTATGGTAGATTTTACTCAAACCCCACCCCCACCCCACCCCAAAAGGCTACTGGGTGGGAAAGGGGGAATTCTAGAGATTAAAGGAATGTTTTGAAGAGGAAGGGCTCACTGTTTGCAAACTACATTAAAGACAAGGGGCTAAATCTGCAGCCAGAGGATAGAGGTCATAACAGAAAGCTAAGGTATTTCCATACCCAGGATTTTTGTAAGAGGAGACATTCCCACCTATCCTTGTTTTGAACTAGTGATGATTTTACCTACAGAGAAGGGGAAAAGACAGGAGGGCCTGAGGCTGCTCTGACCTTACCTATTGCCAGGAAGAGATCGTTCACGTTCATAGCCGTCTTGGCTGAAGTCTCCATAAACAATAAGCTGTTGTCATCTGCATATGCCTGGGCCTCCTGCAAGGGGTGGGGTGTATTGGTGCTCAGAATGTAAGGTGGGAACAAGTGTTGCCCTTCTGCTCTCTTGTAGCACCAGAGTTAGGCAATATTCTAGGTTCCCTCCCCTTAATTAATGCCCCTTTGTACCAACTGGCCCTGGACCCATAATTTGGTGGTGACTCCCTCAAGATAAACCCATGTCCACTCAGTTCAACAAACAGATGCCAGGAAGCTTAATTACAGGGGAGAGGATAATTTGGTTGGGGATTTTTGGATTCTGACACTTGAACAGTCCTTTACATAAAATTCAGTGGCTCCCTCTTTCCTGTTTTCACACTGGTACCCCCACAGCTTGTTACTTCCCTACCACACTGTGCTCTGGAATTTTCTTCTGACTCTTACAATCCCCTGGTTGTCATCAGTGTTATAGTGTTGTTGTATGTAACTTAATGAGGAACAGAGGAATGAGACAATGAATGTCCTTAGATAAGGTTTTCAGAGAGAGCTGGCTTGGGAAGGAGAGGCCCCAGGTATACAGCAAGTGTGTTAGAGGGGACTCTGCAGGCCATCTTACTTCATACTCCACCATGCGCTTGTTGGCCAGGTCAGCTTTGTTCCCCGCCAGGGCAATAACGATGCTAGGACTGGCCTGCCTCTGTAGTTCCTTTACCCATGTCTTTGCTCGGGCAAATGTTTCCTAGGAAAACAAGAAGAGAATGAGTGTGCTGGAATGACTGCCAGTCCACATCCATAACCTTTAAAACAGTCTCAAAAGTCACCTCTTCTAGGAACCTTCTCTCACTAAAAGTATGGGTCTCTGCTAAGTCATTCCTTCCAACGTTTTTGGCGCTTGGAAGCATAATTTGTACTCGTATTTTGCTATATCAGGAAGCTCTTTTGTCTCGCCCACCTAAGTGTTCTCAGCCCACTTACCTGATTAGTAATGTCATAAACAACAATCGCAGCTTGGGCACCCCTGTAGTACATGGGAGCTAAGCTGTGGTATCGCTCTTGCCCAGCTGTGTCCCAGATCTCAAACTTGACTGTTGTATCATCTAGACAAACAGACTGGGTGAGGAAGGCCGCTACAGATGAGAGAACACAAGGAAAACAGTTGTAAGTGGGAGGACGAATGGAAACACACAAGCCCCCTTCAAAATATCTCTACCCTAAGACCACTGAAGCTACTCAGCTACAGGAAAAGGCCTGGCTTTCTCCTAGAGCCGGATTAAGACTGCCTTTGCCATTTTTTGCTTTATCATGCACAGGCCAGAGAAGGCAAATAGGACTACAGATCAGATCTTTTGATGGGTTTTGTTCCCACCATGTTACTGACTGTCAAGGGTTTGTTGTTTTGTTTTGTTTTCCCCCAAAATTGTGCTTAAAAACCACTAACCCTCCGGGTTTTGCCTCTCTTGGAGCCCACCTACTGGCAACTCTGCCAGGAGGTCTCTGACGTAAATAAATCTTGCTTAAAAAAAAAAAAAAACAAAAAAACCAAAAAAAAAACAGACTGCTGCCTTTGCTTAAGTCCTTCTAGTCAGAAGTTTCTCTGGCTGATGAACAGGGGCACATCATAAACTATAAGGAAAAGAGAACTAGTACTTATACCAGTTGTGCCTCTACTAATCAAAACTGGAATAACAAATAATGATGGAGACATCAAGTTTCAGATAAAAGTCTCATCAAGAATTAATTAGAAGGATGGACATAGGAGCAGTGGTTAAAACACCACTTGGAATGCCTGCATCTCATATCTGAGTGCTTGGGTTTGAGTCCCTGGGAAACAGCAGATGACAGCCCAATTTGGGTCCCTGCCACCCAGTGGGAGACCCCAGATTGGATTTCAGGCTCCTGGTTTTGGCTTGGCCCAGCCCCAGATGTTGTAAGCATTTGGAGAGTGAACTAGTGGATGGAAGATCTGTGACTGTATGTCTCTGTTATTCAAATAAAAATGAAATTAAAATCAAAAGAACTGGGGTTGGCATAGTGGCACAGCGGGTAAAGCCACCATCTGCAATGCTGGCATCCTATATGGGCACCTGGTTGAGTTCCAGCTGTTCTGCTTCTGATCCAGCTCCCTGCTGATGCACCTGGGAAAGCAGAGGAAGATGGCCCAAGTGCTTGGGCCCATGCACCCATGTGGAAGACCCAGAAGAAGCTCCTGCCTGACTTCGGCTGTTGTGGCCATTTGGGGAGTGAACCAGTAGATGGAAGACCTCTCTCTCTCTAACTCTGCCTTCCAGATAAATTAAGTGAATGTTTAAAAAAATCAAAAGAATTGTGTTCAACAGTTAAGCTGCCACTTGGGACACCTGTATCTCATGTATCTTTCTGTTTCTGTGCCTCTCAAATAAAATGAAGGAAAAGAAATGTGGTGTTCCTGGATCTGCAGAGGTTATATGAAAAAGTAACAGCCAAATAATGCTAATGATGGTGGGACTTGCCATCAAATTTCAAAGTTTAATCCTTTCAAATTTAATAATTTTATTCATATTTTAAAAACTTTTCTTAATTTTCATTTATCTTAAAGGCAGAGAGAGACATATAGAGATTTTACCATGTGTTGGGTTACTTCCCAAATGCCTACAACAGCCAAGGCTGGGTTAGGCAGAAGTTAGGAGCCTAAAACTCAAGCCAGGTCTCCTATGTGGGTGGCAGGGACACACCTGCTTGAACTGTCACTACTGCCTCTCAGGATCTGCAATAGTAGGGAGCTGGAATCAGGAGGCAGAGCAAGAGCCAGAAGTAAAACCCCGCACTCCAGTATGGAATGCTGGCATCTTAGTGGTTGAGCCAATGCCTCTCCCAAGAATACCATATTTCTAAGGTGACTAGTGAAAAGGAGAATAAAATGGAGGTCTCAGCCCAGGCATGCAATGCATAGGTTGAAAATGCACCCTAGATAAATCTGATGTACATCTTTGATTATGAATCACTGATGCAAGCTCACAGGATTAAGACAGAGTAGGAGAAGGAAAACATAAAAATTAGTCATTTTCTTGGTGTGCTTCTAGAAAGCAAGAAGACGATCCATTTCTGGTACTATAACAATTATTTTTCTGTTTGTATAAAGGTTTTCCATTTCTGGGGAAAGAATGTGATTAAGAGGGCCAGCTCCATAATCAGGTCGTAGCCTTTCCTTCAAAAGCCTCACTAGACATTCAATTTCTTCTTTCCCTCAGATACTCACCTCCAATGGTACTCTCCTGGTATTCGTGGAATTGCCCTTTGACAAATCGTAATACCAGACTAGATTTTCCCACCGCAGATTCCCCCAGCAGGACCAATTTGAATTGGCATATTTTGCTGGCTTGAGGCTGCCCATTGGGCCTGGCTGTGCTTCTGCTAGTCATGGCCAGATTATCAGAGTGGGAAAGGGTAGAGGGAGGGGGATGCCACAAAGCGGCAAAGGGGGGAGGGGGGAGGGGAAGGGACTTCCAGACTTCAACAGTCCTGTAAAGAAAAAAAGGGAGTAAAATTAGACATGGGTGCACTGTAACCCTAATCACTTTTTAAAGACAGAATCTCTTGATTTCTTTACTCCTATGACGCCTTAGCTCTTGCAATCATTCACCATTGGAAGTTTCCACCTCTGAGAAGGTCCCAGGCATTGATACTCAGTAGTAAAAAAGACTGGGGAACGGTAAATAAGAACTGCTTCTGAAGCAATTTGCCCTATCACAAAATCTCCAACTGCCAAGGGAGCACAAATGGAGAGACTGAAAACTGAGAGAAGTTCTTAATCATCCATTAATTCCCCACCAGGTCATCAGGGTGTTTTGGAGTCACAGCTAATTGGTTAACCTTAAATTGATCCACTAACAGGCACCCTAGACCCCTACTATCTCCTTGGTATCATGAAGATGCTTTTCTTTTTTTTTTTTTTTAATTTTTTGACAGGCAGAGTGGACAGTGAGAGAGAGAGACAGAGAGAAAGGTCTTCCTTTGCCGTTGGTTCACCCTCCAATGGCCACCGCGGCCGGTGCGCTGCGCACCGCGCTGATCCAATGGCAGGAGCCAGGAGCCAGGTGCTTTTCCTGGTCTCCCATGGGGTGCAGGGCCCAAGCACCTGGGCCATCCTCCACTGCACACCCTGGCCACAGCAGAGAGCTGGCCTGGAAGAGGGGCAACCAGGACAGAATCCGGCGCCCCAACCGGGACTAGAACCTGGTGTGCTGGCGCCGCTAGGCGGAGTATTAGCCTAGTGAGCTGCGGCACCGGCATGAAGATGCTTTTCTTCTTACTTTTCATTCTCCTGGCTCTCAAAGTAAGAGATTTACTCTAAGGGTGTGGGGTAGTTGCCTCTCCTAAGGGCAAGAAGTAACTTCCTGCGTATCTGACCAGTCTTCTTGATAACAAGAAGTCTTTCTGAATATCTAGTTGGGGTCCTAATGTCAGAAAATCTTCCTTTCTCCTTTTTGATCCAAGTTGAGGAAACACAACCAACAGATCACTTTACCCTCACTTTGTCTCTGCCCCTTCTCCAAGTCTGAGAGTCTGGCAAGTCTGGGAGTCAGTACACTCCACTTGGCAGCTGTCCTGCTGGTGCCTGGGGTTAGATCACCCTCTCCACCAAAGGGGCCTGATCACTGTAGCCCTCCAGTTAGCGGCAGACAGAGATACACCTTCTAAACACCCGCAGGAGTCTCCAGAGGAGGTATAGGGGTAAGTCTTCAAGCAATCAATATTTGATGAAAGAATACATTGAATCAACTTTACTGCCATCTAAAAGGGCTAAGAGAGCTGGTAGAGGGGAGGGGACAGAAAGAGAAAAGTTGGCACTTTGAGATTCTAATCATCTAATCCTGAGTTTATTTCATCATCCTGACTTGAAGGGAAAGGAAGGGACTACAAAATCTGAAAAGGAGGTAGCATGGGCAGAGCAGGAGAAAACTCGCTCCAAAAACCTAAGAACTGAGTGGTACTTCACTTGTTCAAATATATCTTCTACTCCTTGTGGCCTAGGTAGAGATGCCATAGGTAGATCCTAGGTAGACAGACATCATACTCTGTGGCAGATGTGAGAAGACGTTATTTTGTCACTATAGTGAATGGTTTTGAAGTTCATTTTTTTTTAATATTCTTTTTTTTTTTTTTTGACAGGAAGAGTGGACAGTGAGAGAGAGAGAGAGACAGAGAGAAAGGTCTTCCATTTGCCGTTGGTTCACCCTCCAATGGCCGCCACAGCCAGTGTGCTGCGACCGGCGCACCGCGCTGATCCGAAGCCAGGAGCCAGGTGCTTCTCCTGGTCTCCCATGTGGGTGCAGGGTCCAAGGACTTGGGCCATCCTCCACTGCACTCCCGGGCCATAGCAGAGAGCTGGCCTGGAAGAGGGGCAACCAGGACAGAATCTGGTGCCCCGACCAGGACTAGAACCCGGTATGCCAGCGCCACAGGCGGAGGATTAGCCTATTGAGCTGCGGAGCAGGCCCCATTTGGGGTTTTTGAAGTTCAACTAGGATAAAAAAAAAATCTTAAACATCCTACTTACTAGATAGTAGACAGAAAATCATACAGGAGGCAACAGAACAGAGGCTCTGGAATGTGATTCTCGGGGTTTGTTTTCCACTTCTACTTATTAGCTGTCAACCTTGGGGCAAGTGACTGAAGACTTATATGCATGAATTTCAAGATTTTTTTTTTTGCACCAAAAGAAACCTATCTTTTAATTCCATTTTTAATTCTGAAGTACCCTTGCAGATGTATGCATTCATTTCTGTAAAACAGAATAATAGGCCTTATATGCACCTACTTCATAAGATTGTAGTAAGGCTTAAATGAGCTAATACATACAAAGAACTTACATAAGTATCTGACATAAACTAAGAGCTCAATAAATATTAAGCTTTATACTAATCATTATCAAAATGACATCAAGTAAATTTCCCTAGTTCTCTGTCTTACCTTCCACCGCTATAGTGGCCCTGCTTTTGGTGACCCAGAAAAGGTTAATATATTAAAAGTATATGTCACTATTAGTTGTTATCAACACATTCCTAAAAAGCAACCATAGTACAAAACATGTAGAGAAAGAGAAAAAACAAAAGGGTAAGAGGAATTCAGTAGAGGACTGAGACACTGGTGAGAACCTCAAGTCCCAAAGTAGACTAGATTACTCAGATCCTACCTCCTAGGACACAATTATTATTTTTTTAAATTTATTTTTGTTTATTTGAAAGGCAGAGTTACAGGGCAGGAGGGAGGAAGAGGGAGACAGAGAAAGAAAGAAGAGAGAGAAGACAGGGGAGTGGAGGTGGGAGGAGAGGAGAGGAGGGCGAGGAGGGGAGAGGAGAGGAGAGGAGAGGAGAGGGGACGCGAGGGCAGGACGCGCAGCGAAGGCAAGGGAAGGGGATGCTAGGGGAAGGGAAAAGAAAAGGGAAAGAAGGGAACGGGAACATTATAATCGAAGGGAAGGGGAAA